TTGACTCCCATTGTTCTGTTTTTGTCAGTGACAAAACACCAGTTGTAAAAAAAAAATAAATAAAAATGTTGGTAGTAGTTAAATGTGCACTGTATAAGTTTTCTGGTGGAGGGTCCACTTGTCTTCATGAAGATTTTATTGGTTTGCCCAGAAGGTTCCACAGTATGGCATTAAACTTATCTATCATACATTTATTCAATTACAGATATTTTATTGCTCAGAAATACCTTGAAAAACATTCTCCATAGATCTCACTCATAACATGGCCGGGTGGTATCCCTTAATTCTATGGAGATAAGTTTAATGCCATACTATGGAACATTCCAATCAAATGGTAAGACAATCAGGTGGTGAACTCTCCACCAGAAAAGTTACAATGTTTCATACTTTTTACCTAGTATGTCCCTTTAGAGACATAGGTGGAAATTAGCACTGATGCTACAACCTGATGTACAATGCATCTCTCCTGTTAAGGTAAAATGCAAAAATTGTGTGCTGTCCCTGTCTCAAATAAATAAATATATAAATAAATAAATAAATAAATATGTCTAATATGGATTTTACTCATAACAATACTGTTAAATGTGAAACTAACAACTTTAACATGATTTTTTTTTCTAGTTGATGATTATACAATTACAAAGTAGAATGAGTTCCTTACTTTAGGTTGCCAGATCTTGCTGGACCTAAAACAATATTTTGTTCAGGTCCTCAGTTATCATTCAGGTTGCGATTGTAGTATTTTTTTCATTTGTAGCAAATTCTACATATCTTTAGTCACATTTTTTACTAAAAACTTCCATCTAATTTCATGATGTACAAAATAATTTTTCTCTTTCCTTTACTTCTTTCCCCCAAAATGTGCACTTTTGTGTCTTTGCCCTTGAAATTAAACCTACTTAAACCACACTTTGTAAAGCATCCAACCAAGAAAGTCACCTTGGTGCCTGTTAAGACTTTACAAAGATATGCATATATAAGGAACTCTCAGTGTGTTTGTGCATTGTGCGTATAAGCCTCAGATGGCTCAGATATAGCTCTGTAATACATGTGACAGGATGGGTTTCCCTGAGGAGAGGAGGCCAGCTGTGATCTGTGCTTTGTTTGCCTGTGTACTAAGGAAAACATAGCTCTACATTAGGCATTGATGCAACATGCAGCCAGTGCTTCCAATCTGGCTACTTATCACCTTTTCTATCTCTCTTTCTCCCTCTCGCTCTCTCTCTCTCTTTCTCTCCTCCTCTGTTTGTTCCGCTCCTCTTCCCAGCCTCTGCCTATTATTTAAGACCAAAACAATAAATAAGTAAGATTGAGTGGGAGGAACAGCCAGGGGAATACAACACAAGGGCGAGAGAATGGGGTAGAAAACAAAGATGAATATATGGTAGTAGCGGAATGAATGGATTGAGAGGAATTTGGTTTGAAAAGAAACACATAGTCACAGAAGCTTGGAAAGAACAAGATGTTATGGTGTACTTTTTTCTCTGAGAGGATTTCTGCCTGTTCCTCTCAGTCTAATGAAGTTATTGCTCATCCTTTGTCACGATTCTCACTGTTGCTTTCTTCAAATAAACCTTGGAAAAAGAGATTAGGAAAACTTCTGCACATAAACAAAACAATTTTTTTCTCCAAAACTCCAATTTTTGCCATTTTGAGTTCTTCTGAAACCATTGTTAAACTATTGTTCTGTCATACCATAGCGGTTTTTGAACAGTATGTCTTGTTACTGACTAATGATTTGTATTATTTGTAATGATTTATATGTATAATCTGGATTAGATGACTGCCAGTTCTGATGCTAATAATAGAAACAGCAGAGAGCATAAAATGGCTGTTTTTAAACAACATGATTCTAACAGAGGCTCATCTGCAGTGATGTTAGGAAGAAAATGCACAAGACAGTCACACTTCCTACTTTCTGGTGAAGGGTCCACTACCTGCTTGTATTGATGGAAATGGGATTACACCAATTTATCTCCATGGTAACACCACTAGTCCAGGTTACAGGTGAGAATGCTTGTTTTAAAGTAATTTCAAAATATCTCATTCAATAAATGCAAGATATATTTAAGTGTAATATAATACTGTAGAATATTCCATGCAAAACAACAATCTCCATGGAGACAGGCAGGAGGTGTAAAATCCCCCACCATAAGTTACATAGTAGAACTTTAATTTGAAGAGGAATCTACTAGTTTAAGTATGTTTTGAAGTCACTTTAGCAGAATGTTCAGTAGAACATTTCAGTACTTCTTCTGATTTAGTACCAGCCATAGACTGTATATATAAATAGACAAAGCTAAGCCGCTAGACACCTTGTTACAAATAGGAAGTGAGCATGGGAACGCTTTTGACTCCGTTTCCATTTGACTTTACATTGAAAAACGTCGCCCCTCCCTCTGTAACCGCTGCAGTGAACCTTGCCATTATGGTCTTAAAATGTTCATATTAACCCGCTCTACATGGTGTTTTTATTTAGCTATTTTTCCCGTAAATAAATTTGTATGGAAATGGCTGCAAATTCTCCCTATAACTACCAGCCTCATGAGCTTCATTTGACTGGATTGGATCTCGTCGCACTCACTTAGTCCACTTTTTTACACGGTCTGTGGTACCAACAATCACTAAAATGTTTGTAGTTTAGAATAATATGTACAAGAAAAAGTGTTTGCAAAGAAGTGAAAATGACAATAGCCTGTGTAGCTCTATGGGCAGGTCTATACCGGGGCCCTAGAGGGGTGCTTGCTGGAGCATATTCCTCCTCCACAAGTATCTTTTGTGCTGACAAAGACAGAAACAAAGCATGTGCCCCCGTTCTGAGCCATTTTATGAAGATTAAAGCAGCAGTAGGTTGCCTTTTGCTGCTCCACTGCATCCAGCCACTTACTCCAAGGGTCTCTTAAAAAAGATATGGTATGGCTTTTTTTTGTCTTTACTGTTTAGTGAATCTTTTTTTTTTTGGTCATTCCTAACCCATTGCATGCTTTTAAATACAATATGATAAAAATAGTGTAAATAATTAGCTGTTGAATAGAAAGAACTAAATGATAAATGCATTTGTGATAATTTATACATAACAAGTGTTTTTTTTTAAATTTCATTAAGCAATTATAACAGAAGTTCTCAACAAAAAGGCCGACTTACTACAACTGATTACATGAAATGGACTCTAAAGAGCTTTTACCCATGTTATAATGTTGTTACCTGGACTTGTTGTATGACTTGTTGTATGTTGTTTCATTCACACATGTTTGAGTAATCCTGGTTTATTAGTCTGTATACATCTCCAAACCTCAAAATGCTCTGTTCTACCTTGTGATGTCATATAGTGTAGTAGTAATTTTCAAGTAACAACTACATTTTACCTTTCATTCAGTAGAGATTTCATGGCTGAAATTGTCCTAATGATTCCAGTGAAGGTAACTGTTTAATATAGGACCTTTAATTTTACCTGTGAAAATGGCCAAGCTTATTAATAGGTGTAATATGTAACTTTTAACTTGATGGATATTTTATTGCTTTTCCTGTTACATTCCACAGATATTAAACTTTAATCACCTCCATGCCTCTGCCTTTTAGTCAACACAAGTGCTATCATCAGACCAGGTTATAGGTTAAATCTGTGGAGAGGCAAGCCCCAGGCACATTTTAATGCATGTTTTTCAAGGCATTTTTTGCAGTAAAATACCTGTAATTGAATAAATACTATGTTTCATGACATATAGTGTAACATCTAAATCAAAACAATAGCATCTCCATGGAAATGAAAATAGCTATAGTGACCTTGATGTGTGAATGTTGCAGGGAAAACCAAATGTGTGTGTGTCTGCGTGTGCACCTGCTCCCGCTGCTGCCTGCTCATCACATGCAGGACCTGTGCACCAGCAGGTCCCATTTTAGTCAACTCTGTCAGTGACAACACTCACGGTGAAATACAGCAGGCCCTTGCATTGTCGTGTGGAGGTAGACATCTTCCAACACGACAGCCCTGACAGCAGCAAACCTATGTGTTGTGATTTGAGAAGAACAGATTTTCTCACTTTGATAGAGTGCGCCGCCGAGTCTAGAGTGATGCACAAAACACACTGGAGCTGACAGATGTGGTCGTGTGATGAATGGCGCCCAAGTTATGGAGCAGTTCTGAGTTTTGTGAAGTTTGAAATCAACCTGCTCTCTGTTTGTGTTTGAGCTATAAAAGTACCTCTTTTACTTCGCACAGAATATATTTGTGTACGATCAATATCAACGGAATATATTTTACCAAGTCATTTAGGTTAGTGTCTATCCTGAATCCCTGCGTCTTCTGTTCTGTACGTTGACAGATCAATCAATCAAAATGTTGTTGTTTATCCCTAAGGTAATTTAATTTAAACAGAAAAACACAGAGAAGAAAATACTGTTTTCTATGGCTCAGTGATAGAGCTGCAATGCATATGTTGAAAAACTTATATTTTCTGATTTAAAGGCACACTATGTAACTCTTCTGCTACCTGCTAGTCTCCATGACTTTGTCTAGAAGGCTCCACATTACAGTATTAAGCATATATATGTAGCATTTATTCCATTACATGAGTTTTTATTGCTCAAAAATATTTTCTAAAAGCATGTATTCATACTCATCTGACCTGTAACTTGGTCTGGTAGTGTCTCACCTGCTTGTCTCCATGGAGATAGATTTTTAATGCCATTCTGTGGAATATTTCAGGCAAAGCAATGGCATCTCTAAAGAACCTATATTACACTATTTTCTGAGCCATGTTATCATGTTGTTTAATCATCACAAACATACCTGGAGTTGTGTTTTGTTTCACATGTTTAACACACAAACCCTGCAAAACCTCACAAAAGTCAGTTTTGTGTAATGGAGGACATTTAACCTATTACACTTCACATGTTAGCTCAACAGTTTAGCCTATAATCTATAATATAAATGTGTTTTGATTATGAATTTACCAACATGCCTGTTCTCTGCTGCTCCTTCTTGTGGTTGTGGTGTGCAGGTGTGTGGCTGAAGTCAGAGGAGACCGTGGCCATGAAGACGAAGAGAGCTGATTTTGTCGCAGCTTATCTGCGCGGGCGGATGATAGTAGCTGGAGGCCTGGGTGAGTTATCTCCTACAGGGTGGCTGCAAGGACCGCAACAAAAATAGCACGGGAAAAGAAAATTTACCTCAAAGCAACTCGATTATACTATACACACTTGTTTGAACTACATCATAATAATATTGTGTAATGCAAGACGTAAAATTGTTATAAGAGCATAAAGTGGCCAACTCTCATAACTGGTTCTAGGTTTAAAGCTGATAGACAAAAACCAAGCAAGATCCAAGCATTAGATTACTATCCTCCCATAGAGCTTCTTTATATTGGTGGCCCGCTCACCACCTCCTTGTACTAGTAGTATATTTTATTAATGATATTGCTTTGTCAGCTCAGGAATATCCAGTTATTCAAGTATAACATTAAACTCTACTACATCCATGAAAACAAGCAGGTGACGCCACAAGACCACCAAAACATGTTTTTGAGTTTTTGTCACGTTTAACGTTACTGTGTGATTAGGTCATGAACCCTCAGCGCTGGACACAGTGGAGGCCTTCCACCCGGAGCGAAAGAAGTGGGAAAGATTGGCTCCTATGACCTTCCCACGGTGCTCAGCTTCCTCCATCGTCATCAAAGATCGCCTCCTTGTGGTGGGAGGGGTTAACCAGGTAATTAAAGGGCCCATTTGCAGTTTTCTGATTTATGTTATAATGTTGTTTCCTCAACAGAAACATTCATGGAGTTGGGTTTTCTTTGTTTAACACACAAACCCTCCATATTTAGGCTGAGTTCTTTTTTCAAACAAAAAACACTCTGTTGCATCTTGTGATGTCATACGGTAATTGCTCCACTGTATTTTTAAACTCCATACACTTTGGCTAGAATCATTTGGATGATTTCATCCTTGGAATTGCCAATCTCTACTGAACTAATATGTTTTTGATGAGGTAACAGCAACATTATAACATAGCTTGAAGCACACAAGAGTCCATTTTGTATAATACATGATCTTTAAATAACCTAATCACAACAGGGGCATCAGACTATTACTCTATAATATGTATTCATTAACGACATGTTGTTCAGGCCCATGATTTGTACCCAGGGCCCAAAATTTTGTGCTATACCCATGATCACAACAATAATTCACTGACAGGTATTATTTGGGATATATAAATGCAGACCACAAACAATTTACATGTTGAGAATTAGTGCTCATAATGTTATCATAATTGCACTCGTCTTTGTTATGAGGAAATGAGTAATTGTATTTTGTGAGTCAACATTACCTGACATGTGGTGCTCCTGTAATAGAAACTCGCTAATGTTGGGAGCTGTGACAGATTGAATTCCAGTTTATCAAAGCATAAAGGCAAAGTAATGCATTTGTTATGATATGTGCTCAGTATTAGATTGAATCCACTAATCATCCTCATCACTAATCAACATGAGGGGGAGATGAACAACAGAATTCATTTGCCACGTCTCCACTGCAGCAGAACTGATACAAGGGCGCGTGTGTGCACTGAGACACAGGCATAAACAATGTCTCATATGAAAGCTATGGGAGCATGTTAGGGCTGGGAGATATGTTAAAAAATGTAGTAACCTTTTTTTTCCTCATATCCAACCAATCACAATATTCTATTTTATTTTATTTTGTGGTATTAAAATAGCTTTCAATCTTATTTTCACAAACATAAACAACATAGACTTTTAATCTCTGTAATTTAAAACAAAAAAAGGTAAATTTCCTCTGAACTCTGCTCCAAACTTCATGCTTGTGCTGACAGGATTGGCTGTAGACTTCTCGATCAGAAGGCATAATGATGATTACGAATGTTAAATTGAAATCGCAATTTCAGTTGGATTAATCACACAGCCCTAAGACATATTCATATTACGAGTGGTTTAACAGTGATTATTTTGTTTATATTTTCAATTATTTGGGTGATCACAGATGATTTCCTTATTTATCACTACAATTTTCATGCTTGTCTAAGAATAACCAATACAAATTCATGAGGCAGTTGCACATTCATGCTGTTAATATATAATGTTTATTCAGAAGTATATTACTGAGAAAAACTGGAAAAATATGTTTTGAAGTGCTGACACTTCTTCAGACACTGACTATAGCATGTACTGCTTCAGATGTGGTAATGGCACAATCCACTGACATAGTACCATGTGACTTGAAAAAAAGGACTCTTCAACTCTTCATGGGTTTCAGAGTGAAGAAAAACCAGCACTGTTGCCATTAACAAATCAAAACATTTTCAAAAAATCTTTTGAATAGTGAAAAGTAGAGCTGCACAATATATTGCAATCAGATCAAAATCGCAATTTGAGTTGGTACATCTATCAAATCTCAAGACTGCAGTTCAGATATTAGAGTGTCCTCTGCAAAGACCAAAATACTAGGATTAATGGGATCAGTTTATGTTTTTTTTTTTTCCAGTTTATCTATTAATTCTTCTCTCAAATGTTCCTGCTCCTGGAGTTGTTTACAAGGCACTCTGAACAGAATCTTACTTTTTTTTCCTCTCCAAAAGCGTGCAGCCTTAATGAAAAGTCCTCAAAATAGTACCTATAAACAGGAAGTCGAAATCCATGATTATGAGTCCTAATCGTTTTTTGGTCTGTTTCTAGGTTCCCAGTGCTGCCCATGAAATTCTGTATGTCAAAGAAGAGGAGATCCTGTAATATGATGTGACTGACAGCCTGAATGCACCCAACCAGCGCCCCCCTCTGTATATGTCCCCTATACCTCTCCTGCAATATGAACATCCACGCAGCTCAGAGAGGAGGGAGGTGTGCCAATGCAATGCCATGTCACAGGTAACAGTGCCCCCTGCTGGGAAACTCACTGAAGCACACTCAAGCACAAAGGAGGAGCTGGCTCTTTCTATATAGTTGTAAAATGTAACACTCCTGAATTGTATGTTGTAGTGCATTCATGGAGACTATTTTGTAGCCTATAGCTCTCAGCGTATAGAGTTATTAGCACATATGCAGCCCTCCCCAATTTCTTCCATGTTTATTTGTGTCATCTGTGTGCTGATTTGGAGCCTAATTCACCGCCATATTAAGAAAAGGCTTCCTGATAGCTTCTCTCGCAAAAGGCACACTGCACAATCACAGGTTTACTGATGATTCTATATAAATCCTAGAGAGTACTAAGAAATCATATCTAAAATATTCTCAATACAAATACATTTATTATAGATTTTCGTTTCAAAGAGTTACATGTGACTTCGGTTTCTACACTTAATGCATTATGTTGATATTTCACCATTTTGCTGGAGTTGGAGTGTCAAACTGATATGTGATTTGTTGTTAATATATTTAATTATATATTATATTTATTGTGAATAAGAATGTAATTTAAAGATGCACTATGTAACTTTACTGGTGGAGGGTGCACAATCATTACCTGGAATGTTCCACAGTATGGCATAGATGTGATCTAGTTTACATTGATTTTATAAGCTGGTTTTATAGCTCCAAAATACCAGAAAAAAATGCATTCTTACAGAGCTGACTTGTAACTTGGTCTGGTGGCGTCACCTGTTTTCATTAAGTTTTTGTCCTGGACTGTGGAACATTCCAGGAACTTTGACATTGAGACAAAGTGTTAGACCCTCCACCAGGAAAGTTACATAATGCGTCTTTAAATGTGTGGCAGATTTATGAGACCACCACATACCATAACACCATATGTCTGAAGTTACAGGCAGTGAATTATTCTATTGATTTGTATGAAAAGATGAAAGTTAAAGTTTGCACAGTTAGGATTTATATAAGCTGTGTACATCTGATTACAATGGAAGATGTGTATTGATTGTAGTGACAAAAACAGTAAGAAGTAAGCACACTTTAAAGGTCCCATATTATGCTATTTTCTGATCTATTATAATGTTTCATCACAAAAATAAGCTGTCTTTTGTTTCATTCACACATGTTTAATATATAAACCATTTCTGTTTAAGTTAAGTTCTGCTCTCAAACGAAAACACTCCGTTCCACCTTGCGAAGTCATGTGGTAATACAGGAAGTGCTCCACTGTGTTTTTAAACTCCATACACCTTCACTAGAATAACTTGGATTATTTAAGACCTGGGCTTGCCATTCTCTTCTAAAGGTAAAAGGTACTTGTTAACTTAAAACTACCAATATAAACCAATAAAGGATTACTCAAACATCTGTAAATGAAACAAAACACAACTCTAGTTATGTTTTTGAGGAGGTAACAACATTATTACATGGCCAAAAGCTCAGAAAAGTGAATTTTATGTAATGTAGGACCTTTAAATACATGAGTTGCATTTTATGTAGTGCAAAAACTGTTATATATTTGTATCTGTGACAATCACTGTGCAATTAATGTCATCCGTAATTGTAAACAAAAAAAAAGACAACTTGTAGGAACAGGTTGTTTCGATATGATTCTGCAGCAATACACTTTTCTAGTGCTGTAAAATGTGCTGTGTAGTGCTAAAACCTCCAAGTTTCGTTCTCCTGGATAAGTGTGGGCCTGATATTGTGGCACAGGCAGTGTAAGGCTATCCATCTTCCGAATGTTCTTGTAGTAACTCATGTCATACATTTTCACAGATCTTGTACAACTCAGAATATAAACTGATATTCTGTCCAATAAATCCAATGTGTTTATATCTCTTGTGTCTTGTTTTGTGTCCAGTGTAGTATGGATCAGGAATAGCCCCTCTCCGGAGGTTTGAGCTGCTGTAGACTTGTGTAAGATCATTATAACCAGGAAGCACCTGCCCTAGCTCACCACTATTTTTACTCCTGCGCTAAAAACAAAGAAGACAGTTTCCTTTCAATATTTTTAGTCACTTGGATACAAAATTAAATCAGATTTTAACAGTGACACTCCAGTACATTAGATTTAAGTTTTTTATGGACTCTAAATTAATTTCCTTTGCTTTAAAGTTATCCCAAAGCATCAAGAACAAAATACACAAATATACACAAGTATATATAACCTCAATACTAATCAGAGTACATCTTTTAGTTCAAAGGTTAATTTAAAATCATTGATGTTTGATATAAGTGGTAGTTGAAAGATCAGTGACAACTAATGCATCAATTTTATATAGCACTTTTTGGACACTCAAAGGCGCTTTACAGAGCATTATTCATTCACTATTCCCTATTAATAGTTTCCTAGTGCAGTTGTCGTCATGCTTCTGCATGAAGTGGCAGAAACTTCATAACCTGGAAAATCTTACTCAGATATTAGTGCAGTAGTAGAAGATGTTGTTGAAGCATTACCATATTACATACTATAAACGATTAAAACAAACAAACAAAAAAAATAAATAAATAAAAAAGTTATTCTATCTCAAATAAAATGCCCATCTCAGTGAAAGATTTCTATTATTATGCCAGTCACAGCAGCCTTTAAACTTACTTGCGTTATCCTCTAGGTGGCAGTAATCACACAGAATACTCAAGGATATTCAACCATCTAGGGAAATTATAAATGAGGTTTTTGGCTATACATTCTTCACAGCATAAACCAATGAGGTAACTGCTTTATAACTATAAGTGTGAAATAACCTTAGCTTACTTCTTGCTGTAAGGTTAGGGTTAAGAATCCTTGAGCACAATTACAGTGTGCCCACATGTTACATAATCAACAGTAAGGCTCTTTGGATAATAGTTTTTATTCTGAATGAGCTCATTACTGTAATTCTGTCAAAGTGATTCAGGGTACAATATACGTAGGCCAAGGAAAGTACTCTAATAAGTCCATGTATAGGAATATGTTAAACAATACATTTTAATAAAAGTATTCAGTTTTCTGTAGTTAAATACTTTTTCAAAGTATTTTTTCCAACGCTGCATATGAGCAATAACACCATAACCTATATTTAGCCACTGCATGTCATTGTTCTTTTACACAATGACTTAAAATGACTTAGTACCACTTTTAATTTGCTAACTATATTTTAACTATTCATTGTAAATCAGTATAATACCATTTTGGAGTATCTGTTGCTCATTGTGTTCAAGTGAGTCACCCTCTACAATAATGATAATAGTACACATTTTGATAAAAGTATTCAATTTTTTGTAATTACATGCATTTCAAAGTATTCTTTCCAACACTGCATATGAGCAGCAGCATCATTGTATTTAGGCACTACATGTCATTGCTATATTACACCAAGACTTAGCCCTGAACTATTAATTATTAAGTATTCATTATACGTCAGTGTAATAGTATTTTAGTGTAACTTTTGCTCATTGTGTTTGAGTGAGTCCACCTCTACAACAACAACAATAATAATAATGATAATAGTAGTACTTTCTTACTCAGATGGTTGTGAGGTGTCAAGAACCAGAGGTGGGACTTGTGAGCCTTGACTTGGACTCGAGTCAGACTTGAGTCACTATTTTTACTTCTTGAGACTTGACTTGATAAAATGGACCAAGACTTGGAACTCGACTTGGACTTGACGCCTGTGACTTGAGAAGACTTGAGAAGCACTTTTAAATATGAATTCTTTCTATTCTGATCGTAATGATTCACACTAAGATCTTGTCAAGACATTTAAAAAGAAAAAAATAACTAAATTAATTTCTACAACTCTTATATACTCTATAAATACTCATATATAAATTTACTATGATTTTTTTAAGTACAATTTATCTTAAAATTCATATAAATTGCAAAAATCTAAGTTATATTTGGTTTAAAGACTTGAAATCTCAAAGCAGATGACTTGGACTTGACTTGGACTTATGGGCCAGTGACTTGAGACTCGACTTGGGCTTGCCTGTCTTTGACTTGGGACTTGACTCGGACTTGAGGTCAAAGACTTGAGACTTACTTGAGACTTGCAAAACAAAGACTTGCTTCCACCTCTGTCAAGGACTGCACCTTCCATACTCTTTTTTTCCCCAGTAACTGAGACTGTGTAATAGCTGGAGTTGAAACCAGAGTGTCAGTCAGTTAAGTCTGGTCTGAACCGCCCTGGTGCAGTGTGTTTGGAAATTGGAGTTTAACACATGTTTACTTTCTTATGATGTTTTATCTTAGCTCAGTGCATCTAATTACAAAACATTACATTATATCACTTTATTAAAATTTTAATTGTTATAGTATCAAACCAAACCTAGCTATACCAATGAACAGTTATATGTTTTTATTTCTTAGTAATAAAATGTGCAAACTTGTAGAAAAATTGGGAAATGCTGGTCCAAAAATGAACACAGCACAGTGTCCTGGTTCATTGATTTTTCAGTGTATTCTGACTTCTGTTCTCAAAAAAGTTCATATTTAAAACCTCTTATATAAGTGTATTTGTACAGCATATTCTGTAACAGCGTCTAAAGGCTGTGGGGGCAAACAGACAGAAGATACTTTGTGATACCTTTGACACAATTTTCTAGTTCCCATCCGAGAAGTTCTTTGGGTCTTAATTGAGTAATTACTAGGTATTAATCACTTTTTGCTTGGAGGTCTGTCACCTGCTTGTTTCTATGGAGATGTCACTGCTCTGCCTGGAATGCTCCAGAGTATGACATTAAATAGCTCTACTTTACATTTATTCAATTAGAGGTGTTTTTTTTTTTTTTTCTAGCTCAAAAACAGGCATTCTGACTGTGAGTGGGTTTGCCTTTTCACAGATCTGGCCTGTAACTTGGTCTGATTTGGTCTCCTTGAAGGTAGAAAAGTTTAATGCCATACTGTGAAACATTCCAGACAAAGCAATAACATCTCCATGGAGAAAAACATTGGACCTTCCACCAGAAAACTTACACAATGCAGCTTTAATAAACCATTTGTTGATTATGAATTAAGTCTATGTTCATGTTTATCATTGATTTTATAATGCTAAGTGCTCTTATTATAAAGTATTTGTAAAGTCTTATAAAAATGTCTTGAATTTTTTTGTACTTTTGCTCCCATTCATTTTCAGAGCCATTAAACAAACCAGTTACACAGTCATTTTTACACTAGAGAAGTGTCTTGCACAGGGGCACAGCAGCAGGCTGTGAGTGAAGTGCCAACTGGGGATGCAGGTTGATACCAATAGCCAATAATGGTGACAGATAACCAATATTTGTCGATACCTATATTAAACTGTTAAAATCCATAGCAAGCACCATAAATTCATGTTAAATTAAAGTCAAGTAAAGTAAGTTTCGATTTTGTAAAAATACTAACAAAAAAACATGTTTTTCTGCGATATAAAATTAATTGTTGCTTGATTGTGTGACGTACAACCACATTTTTACTCATTAGTTTGTTCGGAAAGACAAATCTGATGCACTGAGGGAATGACGTACACATAGACTGGGGCAGTGCAAAAAAATTATATTGGTGGCAAATATCTGCTAAATTCTCAATTCCGATACTGATATCACTGATAAGATACCCCTACTTTCACCTGTTGACCCCCTGATAAGGCCTGTCGCAATAATTAGTATATTGACCTGGATATGAAACCTGGAAACCTGTTGGATAGGTTTTCGCTATTTATTCAAATCTCTACAGCTCAGATCTTACTGTATTACAAGAAAAAATAACTTCTACACAGCTAATTATTGGTTCATTCTGAGATTTATTTTATTTTATTTATTTTTTTCTTCAAAATTTTTATAGTGACAAGTCTATTTAAGTCTAATCTGAGCAATGCTATTTCAAAGTTATATTATAGAAGACTGGGCCCATGCTTTTTCTGACCTGAGACAAACTGGCCAGTCAGTGATGGGGCAGTGATGTCTGCTCTGGCTAATGGGTGAGCTATGCAGAGGTGCTGTAGGTTACTCTTCACCTGTCCATGGAAACACACACAAACCTCCTGTTCTAATGACACGTCCCACGGGTTGATGTTTGCTCCACTTACAGCAGCACAGCCATGTTACAGAGTTTGGGACTCAATAAGTAACCTGCCATTATCACTTCCTCCTGTCTGACCCTGGCAGTATCACATCCTCCTGTTTGACTCCGGCCACTGCTGTCCTGCAAAAGGTCACACTCAGTCTATTACAGATTCTTAACCATAGGGCCAGGGTCCAAAGTAGGACAGGGACCACCTCCTTGGGAGCCCCACAATCAGTACAATACAATGCATGAGATAGGGCTCCAGGTTACTTTGTTCAGAAAAGTTTATGATTAGATTAAAGGTGCACTATGTAACCTTTAACCTCAAGTAACCTGGTGAAACTAAGCAGCTTTGTTAAAAAAATAAATATATAAATAAAATTTAAAAAAGTTAAATTTATAGACCAAAATGGGCTATCGACCCAACCAATATCTGAAGCTGATATCTGATCCTCCAAAATTTTTAATATTGGCACCAATATCTGATACCAGTGTCATATCAGTACATCCCTACCTGCTTGTCTCCACGGAGATGCTATTCGTTTGTGTGGAATGTTTCACAGTATTCTTTAAATTACAGATATTTCATTGCTAATAGATAGTTTATGAGTGGAAATGACACATCCCTGACAGATCCCTGACACATTCCTAAATGTTCATTGAAAGAATATATTTCATTTTAGTAACAATAAGGATCCTTAAAGATATACAGTAGCATTCAGCAAACATATTTTTAACTTAGGTCACTGCAGCCTGTCAGAAATATGAGTAGTATTCTCAGTCATAGTCACTCTCTGCCCAGGTCAGATAAAGCCATGCCACTCACATATTTCCAGTCACATGGAGCTAGCATGTGATTGATAGGAAACAGTTGGCAACAATAGCGAATGCTTGTTGTGGCTATCACCTGCACCCAAACTCAATGTCAACAGACAGGCATGGACTGATTAGGGCATTAAAGCAGTGCTGTGAGTCTGAAGTATAAAATGTTAATATTTTATTTTAACATATGTGGCTGAGGAGCCTTAGTTTTGACCTCATACAGATGCTGCCCCCCATTTTGACAGAGAAAATTCCAGGTGATTAGTTTTCTCTATGTTAACCAAACCAAACAGGAGTACAGAGTGGTGCATACTGTGTGAGTAGCAGAAAGACTGGAGCAGAGAGGCTGGAGGAGAGTGTGTGGACAGCCATTCATCCTGAGTTAGGGGAACACATCCAACTCTCCGACATTCTTCTGGGCTCAAAGAAGCCCTGGGACACAAGTGGCCCAAACTGGCACAAAGCGCCTGACGTTGCCAGGGACAGCGGCTCTACCCAGGCCGCTGAGGCCCTTGCCGTGTAGGCTTTCCTTCTCACCTCACTCCCTGGTTCAGGACAGGAGCCCGGGAACATTCTGAAAAAACCTTGATCATGACGTCCAGGCAAATGGTTGATACTGAACAATCTTGAGCAGCCATCTTGCCACTGTAATGAAACACCTGCTCAATATCATGAGCACTAACACCCAGAAGAATCCTCTTAGCCTCAAATCTTCTTAAGGGCAACCCGTGAGTTTCCATTCTCTCCGGCAGCATTCCAGCAGTCAGACCAATAGCATTAACACTTATAGGTTAATTTATTTTGTTGCTGGGTGCCAATAAAACATTTTACACAAGTTATGGACATTCTATGAACTGTAATTGCAATCATATATTGTACATTTTCACTTAGTGTTGTATCCGTCAGTGTGAACTCAATATGGCATTATGTTCCTAGGGTCTCATTTGTGTGAACATCATCACTTTTAGCTCCAGTTCAAAAGGAAGTGTAAGCTGCTGTGTTTAGTCACAATCATAAACCTCTTTTCCTTTACACTGGATGTATGCAATACATGTAAAACCCATGATGACTATACAGAACACATACCTGTCATCACACCTCGTTTGCCCTCAACAAACAGGCATATAGCAAAGTTAATATTGACCCAAAACCCTCAAGCATATTCCATAAAAGTGAACATCCATTTGAACCCATGCAGGTCACTGACCAAGAATACAGAGACACTGTTTAAAGACAGAGAATATACACCTTTATAAACTGGGAATAATAGGATGAGCCTCCTGGATCACTGCTCATCTTGAGGCACATTATGTTCAGTGTTCAGCTGTTCAATTGGCATCTAGTATTTATTTAAATAAAAAATACAAAATACCTAGCATTTTATGTAAGATGGCTGGTTACAATTTTACTTGGAAATTACAAAAACAGCAGCAGAAATAAATAGAAAGGTAAGCAGTTAACTAGAGGTTTTGGTACAACTTTGTTACATCACATAGTATAGGACTAAAGTTAAAACTAAACTTTACTGGAACAGCTGTAGCCCTTTTAGTGTTAGACTCCTTGCAAATATTTACATAATACAATATTGCAAACATAGGATACTGAAGGATGCATGCAACTTGTTCTTTATTGACTTTTGCGTGGTTACATGTTTTGTGGTAATATGAGTGTGATACAGTAAATCCTGATGTCTTGATAACGATGAAGATGAGACAGTGATTCAAAACTCACCCACTTTACAACATGACTCATTCTGATTCTGTGGAACTTTCCATGTCCTCTAAACACTGCTGATGCTAATGGTTAATTCAAGGTTCTTCATCTCTGTGGGATTTTCAAACTATGCAGCTGGTGCTGTGTAGCAACCTGTATGCATCTCCTTTGAGACATTATTAGCACTGCAACACTGAAGACTATAGTGAACATAGATACAGGCTAACAAACACTGTCAGAAGAGATGTGCATTTGAGGGAAAGTAAAACTTATCATGCTTAAAATGTGCTTTTATCTACAATGTTGGTGCCTTTACTGCCTTTATTGTCATTTAAAAGGCAAAAACTATCCCTGTTAATGAACTTCATAAGTTCATTAATTATTTTGACAAGAAAACCATCACTGCAGACTAGGGCTTCTTTATTTGAAATAAACATTTATTTGAAAAACAAAACAAAAAACAAAAACAAAACAAAACAAAAACATATAGGGTAATGAGGTGAAATCTCAGGTAACTAAAAAGGCTAGTGTGCCAGCCTAACAATAAATGAAAATAAAAATAAAACGGATACTTGAAGCAAAAACATATTTTGGTCAATGTGTAACTATGCTTCCTCTTCAGGCGTGTTACTCAGTCAGCCTGTAAGTTCATCTATTGAGAAATGTAGGACTATTGTTAAATTAAAACTCTGATTTGGGTCGTGATAGTAAATTAGCAGCTTGTGGAGACTGGCACCGCGCGCACATAAGTTTCCACACATGTGGCAGAGAGGGAGACGAGAGGCTGAGCTGAGTGGGGCTGAGGGGAGGGCTGTACGTCAGTGGAGAGTGGAGGGAGGGCCAGCCTTGTGGATTCGTGGCCCCCTGCACCGGACGGCGGTACTGTAGATGCGCAGGAAGAAGCCTTGAGGAGGGGGCCATTGAACTGCGCAAGGTAACGGGCTTTGGGACGCATCAAGAGGGAGGGAGGGTTAACCATTAACCGCGGATAAGTATTAAGGCAGCTGTGCAGAGCCGGTCCTTGGAGCGTGTGTGCGCACCGGCTTCCACCTCTCATCCTGTGGGCTACGCGACACCAAGAAGCGTGGTTACAGCAGCGGAGCCTTGTGTGACACTGTTCAGTACGTCAGGTAACTTACTAGTCATTTCATTTATTTCAACACTTCAGGTCAGGCATCCAAATGCAATTTGATATTTGATTCACTGCTGCGCATCAACTTCAAAGCAAGTGCGTATTAGAGATAAGTGTCATACAGTATAAGAGGCGTTCACTCAGCCTTCATTCTCATGTGTTCCCCACTCGTGGGCCTAAGGCAGTGACACGGACTCAAGCCGGGTGCTGGGACACGGAGCCCTCTGGCCTCGCTTAAATGAGCAGTAGAATAGAAAGGAGGGCTTGCCTATTCAGCGCTGACCAGGGGAGCACTAATTTACGCCTTTGCTATGTTGAGTTCGGCCGGTATTGGTCTTGACTACTAAGCAGAGGATTGTTTCAGCAACTAAAAGCCGAGGCTGCGTGCGGATGTCGCAACATGCGGGCAGTGCATGCTGCGTCAAGACGCACAGTTAAGTCGGAAGCACTTCATGTTTGGTTTCAGTATAGAACTAATACTTTTACCTGTTGGTCAGCTTAGGGCATTTTTAAGTGGACTTTGAGTAACAATCAATCCTGATGCATCGGAATGTAGGCTGTATGTTTAAACTGTCTGTTGTTTTGTTGTTTCCCGTACGTTTTAGAGTGCAATAGAAAGAAAAACTTCCACTGTAAAGTGCATCAACAGAATGTCTGTCTGTACCACAAAATGATAATCGAGTAGAGTTAATGTTTAGTAATGCCCTCTGATTATAATCTAGTTTAATATAAAGTTAAGTAGGCCTATAACAAAGCAGACTGTTTTATTTTGAAATTACTTTAGCTTTGGTGGACTAGTGGATTGAAACCGTTGTCACTTTCCTAAAAGATGTAGCGGCATGTCTTCTAATAGTAGACTAGAAATTGTTATACCACAGTATACTACTAGTATTATTAGGTATCAGGAAAAATATTTGGTGTGTTTGACCTCACACTGATTTTCACTTACTGTTGCCCTGCATCCTATAGGCAAGAAAAACTAGTCGTCCTTGTCTTGTTTATCATTTGTTACACAGATTTAACTTCTGCATAGGTCAAACCTTATTATATGCTGTTTGTTTCACTTCATTAACTTAGGGTTGAAATATTAGGACCCATATCTTGAGTGGTCCACAAATTAAATCATCCTCCATGATGGAAAATGTCATGTGACTGAATCCCATGAATCAATCAGAATCTTCATTATTATTTGAAAATAAACATTTATGATCTGACAGACTTCAAATCTGACTAAATTCAAAATCTCTTTTTTTCAGGTAACTGCTCCAAGTGATTGGAGGGTTCTTTTCCGCAGCTTGGTAATTCAATCCTCCTTCTGCAGTCCTTTAAATATCTCCAGAGAGGACCTCCCAGCAGCCACGTGTTGTAAGGTGAGACCCTCCCAGTCGCCCATGCTCACTGGGCTGTGAGCAGGACCAGTCTGTACTGCTGTCTGACCAGTCCACACCTGACACAGCCTAAGGTGGACTGTCAGTGACTGGAGGGGATTTCTGCTTTCAAGCCTAATAGTCTTCATGCCTTTTTGTATTTGTGGCCAGTCTGACCAGTGGACTTTGCAGTGAATGGAGAACTTACTGGTTCTACTGCCGAAGCACCGTCAGGAACACGGCAGATGCTCTACTGCATGTGCCTTACTGCAGTTTTTTTTTTTTTTCTCGACAGAGCACTTTTCTCTGTCAAGAGTGACCACCTCTACCATTTAGCCTTTTAATGGGATAAACCAGTTTGAGTGGCCAGGTTCAAAACCAGAGCAAAAGGCCAGAACCATCCTTGAACTGTCAAAGGGCTGACAAAGCGAGCGTACCATTTTGACTAAGTCAATAGTTTTCAAAAGGCTTCCGCATGGTACTTTGGTCGAAAGATCAGGACAAACTCCCCGACATGGACATGTCTTCAGGGGCCATTGACGTGAAGAAGGAGGGAGGCGCACTGACACCAGCCTACCTCAACTCCAACTGCTCAGTTCACCCGGTCATCCTCACCAAGGACCCTGACGAGCTGGCCCCGGAGACAGGGGGTGAGTTTGAACTCAAAGAAGTCACATCATTCCCTGAGAGAGTCAATGAGAATGAAGAGGATGAAGAGAGGTCAGACATTGTGGTGACCATGGAGTGCTTGGCCAATGCAAAAGGCCAGCGTGAGGAGGACGCTTTGTTAGAGAACGCCAGCCAGAGCAATGAGAGTGATGACACCAGTATGGACCAGAGCCCAGAGCCCCCAGCACCGCTCAAGGAGACGTCCTTCTCCATCGGACTGCAGGTGGTCTTCCCTTTCCTGTTGGCTGGCTTTGGGACAGTGGCAGCTGGGATGGTCTTGGACATTGTACAGGTGAGTCATTTGGAGTCTAAACTTGTTCATGTGTAATGGTTATACCAATGTGTTATGTGGATATTTAAGGCAATATAAAGAGCTTCTATCTTTAGTGGCTATTTTTAATTTTGTAATTGTTAATACGATATTTTCTGTATATTTATCAGCACAACTGGTATCATTAAATGACTACACTCACATCCTCAATTTGGAACATAGTGAGATATTCCATCACAGTTCTGCAAAGGTTAAAAAATATGTTGTGTTTGGTGTTCTTGTATTTCTCAATTCACCTCTGTATTAGTAAGAGCTAGGTCTCAGGTCAACTAGTTGAGCGAACTGTAGTATGTCTATGTGGGTTGCAGTAATTATATGAGGTTGACACATATTATAACATCACACAATCTCTTCTGACTGATGTGAATCGAGTGAATTAAATGTTTATTCTGATATGACACATTTGCAATTAATTATTTCAATAATGCAATTATCAGAATTCTAATTAAATTCAGTTAATTTAATTATTGCTGAAATGATTTAAAATAATTAAATTAATTAACTTGGTTTGAATGTGTTTGCGGATGCATAGTGTGTTGTGGACAGTTTGTAAATTCAAAGAAACAATATTGTGGTACTGCAGTCTGTGTCACCGTGTGGTTAGGTATTCTCAGTAATCCAGGAATGCAGAGGTTTGAGGTCAAAAGTGTTCACAGTGCCTCCACTTGGACACCACGCTGCTCCAGTCACTCCAGTTTCCAAAACATTAGGAAGTATTATTAAAATGTAGAAGCAGAAGGTGTAGTGCCAACCCTTACACCAAAGTCCACTATGAGCAGCGTTTTGCTAAATGATAACCACGTTAAAACACTTTGGCCCTAATGACCCTGAAATGCTGACAAAGCTAATCTTCCTGACCTTGCTGAAAAGTTTTTCACTAGATTGTTCAAACAATTTGAGAACCTTTAAGGTGTTTCACTGATCATTCGTTTTGTGTCTTGAAAGGCTATTGACATCTCTCTCTAAAATCTAATTTTTTGCACAAAATGTGACCCCTTTAACATTGGTCACTTGACCACACACCGAAGAAGGGCCTGGCCTCGTTCCCACTAGAGGTTGGCCCAGATTGGATTCAGTCTGGTATAGAGAACTGAGGTGTCTGCATAGTTATGCTCACTGACTTGGCAGTAGACTGACCTAAAAGTATACATCCCCACCAAAAACAGTAACACACAGGAAACTGGGACTCAGGAGTTACTACAACAAAGGTTTCCACATAGTTTCTAAATATTATGTCTTTACCTCAATCTACGTGGTGCTGTGTCTAGACATAAAACAACAAAATAAATTGGAGTCTCAGCCTCAAAAACAAACAGTTTAAAATAAAGGGACCAGTAAACAGGAAATCATAGTAGACACAAAGCTGTGACACGGGCCAAGCCTCTGCTGCCCACTAGACACTGTTTACGTCTGACCACATCCACTTGGTGGCTTGAGCATAAGAGCCACTGTAAAACCAGAGCGTGGGCTGTGTGTCTTAAAGTGAGGCATTATGTCTACTGCTAGATCCTGGCTCATCTCAAGTCAAGAAAAGACTTTCACTGGTACAGGTTTTCAGTTTAGCATTTGAAAACCTTTATAAGATATATATATGAAATGTCAAACTACAATATACTCATCATTGTACTGTAGATGTGAGTGAGATGGATGGACTGGAGAGTTTGGGTTTGAAAATGTATACAAAATATGTTGGTGACTTAACTGCTCACAGAGGTTAACCCAGATTCCCCTGCTTATTTTGCAAACTCAAAGTGCAGATGACACCACCCCCTGTCTTGTGACATCTGTAACATCAGTGATGCCACCACAGACACACTGAGCTTAAGCTTCCCACTCTATAGCAAGTATAGTCACCACATATAAAAAGGGGACATGTTACTCAACTGGGCAACCTGACCCTTGTGGGGCGTACATACCAGAGCTCCTATAGGTCTGTACACAGAGGACCTGGGGTTGACCAGTTAAGTTCCTAGAACGGAGGAGGTGGCCATGGGAAGGGAGGGCTGAATTGGCCTTCAGCCAGCGGTCCATGGAGACAACAACATATATCACCACAGGGAGCAAAGAGAGATGGTGCCGAGACAGCAGCAGAGAGGCACAGAGGAAGGCTGAAAACATGCAACACTCAAAGAGAGGAGAGCTGTTCACAAGAGCCTGTGTGGCTTAACATTTGAATGAGCTGTGCGTAGTATAGTGATGATTCAGGACAGGAGTGTAACCCCCAGTGCAGCTTGTAGGACTATACTCCAAGTACATACAGTGGAGAAAGTGGAGACAGAGGGGGGCATCAAAGAATGTGGGCCAGACGTCAGGTCCTCTTCCTACACACTTGTGTTCTCAGTGCTGGTGTGTCAGCATGGCTGAGTATTGATTTAGCTCAGGGTATACTGAGAGTAAGTGCTGTGGGCTTATGAGACCTGCTCCAAAGACAGGCACTTTTACTGGGCAAAAATCAATGACGTCTATCTCTGCAAGCTCATAGTTTTTGGCCACAGCAGACCACAAACCTGCAATCAGCGCATGCACTCTGACGGAGGCTCGGCTGCAGAATATCTCAGATTATTATATTTTAAAACGTTTTACCTCCAGTGTTTATTTCCTAGGCCTGCTTTAAATACATTGTTGTATGTTTTATTGTATTGCAAGCATAATGCTACTTTTGCAGTAGAAATGCTCCATGATTCATGCCAGCCTGGGTCCGGTTTCCTATAGGATCAATAGTGTAGGTTACATTGATGAGTTGCTCCATTCCCAGAGAGCCCAGTGAGGACACTCTGTTTCTGTTTAATGTCTTATGATTTTGTTTTTGTCTGTTTGTGCAGCACTGGACCGTGTTCACAGAAGTATCAGAGGTCTTCATCCTGGTTCCAGCGCTGCTCGGTCTAAAGGGAAACCTGGAGATGACTCTGGCATCTCGACTCTCCACAGCGGTGAGACTCACACTTATCACCTGTTTCCGTCAACATTACCCAATCTGTTTGTCTCGACCCTGAGTATGACCCCCATTAAGCTGCAGGTTCAGAGGTTGTGTTGACAAAGGTAAACTGGCTTTTGAACACAGCTGATAGCAACATCCCTGCCCCCTTTGCATTGACCATTGTCTTTACATGGACACCTGGAGGTTCAAAAAGTATCTATCTCTCTCCTTTCATATTCCCAACCTCCGCCTGTACTAAACTATATTGACAATGCCACCAAACCAGTCCATATCTTCACATCAACAGTCTACCAAACCTGTTTGAGTGACTTTTTTGTGTGGAGTGGCTTAGACTTTACTTGTGTTTTTAATGAAACATCTTCTGTTTTGTCATGAAGCTTTGTCCACTTGCAGTAACCCACTGTTGTTTAGCTTAACACTATATAAGCACTGTTAAATCCAATTTCACATTACTACAGTTAAAGAGGTAGTACACAATTAGTTAGGTGTTCATTTAAAGCACAGCAATCCTCACATTCTTTCCACTGGGCTGTGGAAAACAACTGACAAAGCTGATTAGCATTGCTAACTGTGGTCCACAGCATGAATCTACGATTATCACATTCACACGGAAACTCCTCACTTTTATCAAATTGGCACACTTGTAGAGATCTGAACACTTTTTTTTTTTAACCCTACATACAACTACCTTTATTTGCATGAGATATGTTTCTAAACACATCATATTTGTGATTCCAGCTCCCACAGATGAATGCTGTCATTGTGTCCTTGGGCAAGACACTTAACCCACCTTGCCCACAGTGTCTGCGTACACAGGTGTATGAATGTGTGTGTGAATGGGTGAGTGGTTCTATGTTGTAAAGCGCTTTGAGTGCCTTGAAGGTGGAAAAGCGCTATAGAAAAATGTGACCATTTACCATTACCATTTACCATATTTCATTCATTAAAGCTTTCCACTTCAACACAATCAGGTTTCTTTCCACATCATTGCTAATTATCAGCAGATTAAAACCACTGCATGTTTCCTAATGTGCTTATTATTGGGGAAAATCCTGTACAGTCACTTGGGTTTGCTACAGACCTTTAACTTCACCTGCTTTCATTCTTTTCACGTTTTCCAGGTTTTTTTAATTTATTGTTAACTTATGGGACATTTTCATTCCAGTATCTATAAGTCTTCTAAACACATAGTAACTATCTTCTTACCAAATAAATTACTTCTTACCAAATTTCCTGGGAAGTAACACAGGGCTTATCAAATATGTAATGTGGCAATTGTTGCACACATCTCAACAAAGAACATTTATACAGTTTTTCTTGTCTTTTCTTAATTCCTTGAGTTTACAAGACAGTTTACAGTTCACAGTAGTACAGCCATATTGGAAGACAGTAATAGGTGACAGCTACTGAACTGACCTGAACCAACAACCCACTATCTATGGATGGACTTCAGCTACCTCATATTATTATATTATTACAGAGTGGTCTGAAAATAGTACTAAGCAGCTGATTCTTTTTTTGAACACAAAGCCAGTATGTGGCAGATGCCCGGATGCCGGAGTTCCTAATGCATATGTAAATAGTGATACAGAGAAGGCAGTTTCTCTGTTAGTGTGATGGTGGACGGGCTGGTGGATCAGTGCTCTGGGCAAACAGGGAGCCACTGTAGCCACAGCCACTTGAGCAGAAGAAGAGAGCGTGCGCGAGTGTGCCAGAGGACAGATGAGATAAGTGCTGCTGGCAGCATCAAAGCAGCTTTGTCCTGAGAACTGTCATGTTTTTGTTCTGCCGGCTCAAAAGACAACAAACAACAAGCCGTCCACTGACACCCGCGCACATGGACGTGTGCACGCTGCAACGTCTGACCCATGTGTGCTCTTCTGCTTCAGGCTAATATCGGACAGATGGATACCACCAAGGACATGTGGAAGATGATCATGGGAAACCTGGCCCTGATTCAGGTAAAAGACCTCTACAGTCAAGTGTGCTGTTTATGTCCTCTGCACAAACCTGCTTACAGTCCCCAATGAAGTTAGTGCAGGAATCACATAATGACATGACTTACTCAGTTACAGGGCCAAATGAATGATGTCTCAGGTTACACACAGAATGGTAGCAAATAGACTCTCCCTCCACATTTATAATTCAGACTAACAGGTCAATGGATTAAATCTGTGACTAATTTCTATCAAAAAAGAACATCAAAGTATTCACTTAATACACCATATACTTTGCTTGTTTTCCAATCAGATAGAAAGAGTTTTTTTTTTTTTTTTTCATAACGCTGAGCACAGTAAATGCTCTGATTAAACACTGATGTCTGTGCTTTCAAGTCAGGTTCTTTTCTCTGATGCATTAATTCATAATAAATATGGTCAAACCTTATGTGGTCTGTGATATGCTTTGGTCGTGCACTTACATAATATCAGCCTTAGTTCCAAGAACACTTTTAACTGAACACTATTTAGGGTCAGCATGCACTCTCACGGGGTCACGTTGCTGCTCTTATTACTCCCTGATACACAAGTCTTAATGTGTAAGGCCTAAAATAGCCACATGCTCCAAAATGCAATCACATGTCACTTGACTGAGCCTGTGATTCTGTTCAGGTTCAGGCCACAGTGGTGGGCTTCCTGGCATCCATCGCCGCAGTGATCTTCGGCTGGATCCCAGAGGGGCACTTTAGACTGGGCCATGCTGTGCTGCTGTGTGCCTCAAGTGTAGCCACAGCTTTCATCGCCTCTTTGCTGCTAGGTAAGTCCACACCAGTCCCCAGTGCAACATCTGTGATAGCAAACATTCACTCCAACACTTTTATTAATGTGTCTTGTCCTTTCTTGACTCTTAGGGCTCATTATGATCGGAGTCATCATTGCATCAAGGAAAGTTGGCATTAACCCAGATAATGTGGCTACACCCATCGCTGCCAGCTTGGGAGATTTGATCACGCTGTCCCTCCTCGCTGGGATCTCCACTGGATTGTACAAAGAATTAGGTACAGATATAAACATGTCAAGAATACAAATTTAGTTTCATATATTTTGAGAAATAATGAAAAATATTTTTTAAAACACATGAAGATGAATGGCCTCATGCTTTAACATAAAAGCCATGCACACTATATATCAGTCACTTATTATGTGTGCACTGAGCAGTTATTTCCATCCTACCATATCTACTATTGACTATTTTTTGTTGATTTGTGGTAGCAACAGCAGCATCCCTATGTCCATAAAGCACTGGCACTTTTCTAAAGCTACACATACACTTGTGTATATGTGACTCTAAAAGATAGTGAGCTGTGCTCATGCAACAGCAAGGTACTATATTGAGCTGATTTGGCTTATTTTGGGTCAGACGCACAAAAACACAGCTGGTGTCTGGGGCTGTCACACATTCCCACAGCGCTCTGTCTGCTTCTATGAGGTATGAGGCACATTCATAGCCAGTAAGGAAGCCACAGTGCCTCCAACAGGATACATTGTGAATTACTATAATCAGATTTTAATTAATACAATCTCATGTGGCTTATTCTATATATCATAGCAATAAACATTATAACAAAACTGTTGTTCATATTGTGTTGCTCACAGAGTACAATGACTACGCCAATCCTCTGGTGTGTGCGGTGTTTGTGGCCATGTGCCCGCTGTGGGTTTTCATTGCCAGGAAGATCCCCTCCACCAGAGAAGTGCTCTACTCTGGCTGGGAGCCAGTCATCATCGCCATGGCGATCAGCAGGTAGAGTACTGCAGGGCTTGCTGAGTTCAAATGTTAAAGGAATCATTATTCATTTTTATTTTTCATTCCCAGTGTTGGGGGTTTGATACTTGATAAAACCGTTACCAATCCAAACTTTGCTGGTATGGCGGTCTTCACACCAGTCATCAATGGTAAGTGGCTTATGCTCAATATAACAATGTAAATGGTGTTTACAGTACACATGAAATATTTATGAGTTTCCGACGTAAGAATTAAAATATTATATCATCTTAAATGGGTTTAAAAGGGCAAAGGTCCTCACAAAATCTTTCAAAGCACAAAGAAATCCTTATACATGAAAGTCATTAATATTGTATAGAGCAATATAACTTAATAACGTGAACATTTGTAATTGTGGGTTTGTTGTGTCTCAGGTGTGGGAGGTAACCTTGTAGCGGTCCAGGCTAGTCGGATCTCCACATACCTCCACATGAATGCTTTACCCATGGGGGACCCAACCCCTGCCCCCAGGAAGTGCCCTACACCATGTACTACTTTCTTTGGCTCCAGTGAGTAATGAATAGCAGTGCTGTTGTTATTTTTTATATTGTGCTTACCCACAATCTGAAGTACAAGTCATGTTTTTATGCAGCTGTGAACTCCCGCTCGGCTCGAGTGCTCTTCCTGCTGGTTGCTCCAGGACACCTGGTCTTCCTGTACACCATCAACTCACTGAGAGGTGGTCACACCACTCTCACACCTATCTTCATCTCCTTTTATTTGGCTGCTGCCCTGCTGCAGGTATGTGCATGGACCCGGATCATAGCCTCTGTCCGTGATATCAGTCTGACAGCTCTTTTGTTTCAGGTCATCATCCTACTCTACCTGGCTGACTGGATGGTCCACTGGATGTGGGGGCGTGGGATGGACCCTGATAACTTCTCTATCCCGTACCTCACAGCCCTGGGGGACCTGCTTGGGACAGGTTTTTTGGCCCTTTGCTTCCACATGCGCTTCTTCTTAGGAGACAAGGACAGCAATGTGGGCAACTAAAGGCACATATATGCACAAATAATACAATTAAAGCTGGGCTTACACGAGAAGCTACAGTGCCGATGTTTTGATTGGACCTCCTCAGAAAAGGGCTATTCTTCAGCAGGTCTCTGGTGGAAGTGTACTTGTGTGATGCTTCCTTTGAGGATCTCAAAGATATCAGGGCATTTGACTGCATCCTTCCCAGCAGAAGGCTCTCTGGGTCCAGCCCACAGACTACTTATATTTGTTTGTGGCCTTTTAATTGTACAAATGTATGGTGTTGATTTTGTTTTGGGCAAGTCTTCATTATTTTTCAATGGGGACAGTAGCCTAACTCTTTGAATAATAACGTATAGACAGGGAACGCTTAATCACCAAGTGCTATATTTCTCAGTAGAAGCCTAAGATGCAAGAGCTGACAGCAGAACACTCACAGCTCTCAGGTTGAGTTGATTACAGCTATGTACCAGGAGACAAGGCACACACCAGAGCTTAAATAATTGTCTAATGGGATTTGGAAAACAAATAAGAGTGATTTTTGTGTTATAATCATTGGCGGAAAATGTGGCAATATCTTAATGTGAAGACTAGAAAAAAAACCTAACCTAATTCTGCCATGGTTGTTACTGTAATACCAAATTGTCCTTTTGTTTCTTAACATGATTACAAAATACCCAAAACAATAGTTTTCTGTCTTTGTTTAAAGTGTAAATAAACAAGCAGACATGTGGATAGTAGCATGTGTTACATGTAGGGCACTGGTTGGGAACATAGTGTACTCTGTAAGCACATGTTATTCAGTGTTTGTGAATGTTGAGAGGGCACAGTACTCCACACTGTCACGGGCTGTCCCACCTGAGGACAGCTGTTGTCCCCGGTTACCACCAGGGCATGTTTTCACAAGCACAGCCTATGGATGTGCAGTGAAACTTCCCTGACAAACTGCTGTCAGAGCCAACATAATTTCTATGCAATTTTCTGGTGTGCCTGACATTGACGGTTCATTTTCCAGATTGGTCAGTGTGGCTTCACAAAGTGTTTAGTCTGAGTAATTAAAGCTTTCTGCCACCAGACTGTGTGAGTAAGTGTGAGACAAAAACATACAGCGACAGTGAGCGAATGTTACAGCCATTGAACAGACTGTACCAAGTACAGGTGTTGGCCCAAAGGCAAAGTCTTAGCAGACCTCTGCATGTGATGCATGGTTATAAATACTTCACTGTGCTGTTTCAAGGGGCCAGCCAAATGCATGTGCAGGGCACATAGTGTGAATGTGCAAAACTTGAAAATGTTCCTGAAATCACAAAATGTAAACAAAAAAATTAAGTCATAATTTTCTATTCCTTTCCTTATTTTTGTTTTTATTTTATTTTATTTTTTTGTCTAATCTTTCTAATTGTGTTAAAATATTTTGTGGAAAAAACACTGTTCAGACTCAGACTTACAAGATACAGAATGTACTGTACTATTTCATTTGGACACTAGAGGACGCTGCTGTGACACCAGTCCTCTCCTGTGTGGAGCCACACTCTGTTTCAGTCCTCAAAGACATTATAAATACAGGTGTTATATACAAATCTCCACATGGACTCTGTTTGAACTGGGCTCATGTGCACTTCACTCAGTATCTGTTCACTAACTGACCGGTGCCAGCAGTACGCCTCTGTACATGCATAGTTGTTAATACTTCAATAAGAGGCAAGTCATGCATCGTCTATTTATTTTTGAAAAGCACACAAAGCAATTTGTAAATACTATATATTTATTCTATATATGATGTTGTTTATTTTGACTTTTCCTTTGTCACAATTTGATTCTGTTCACATATCTTTTATAGCTAAAATGTTTGATAAAGGCCAGTTGTGCTTTGGAGGTTGCTGTAATAGATTAGCAGAAAGGCTAATGACTAGCACAGTGCCTAATCTTGACACATGCACACTGTTCAAAACAATGGCCTTAACCTGTCAGAGTGGAGCATGGGCCTGGAGCAGGGCTCACCACAGCGTAGCATAGCACTGATTACTAATAGGTGTACAGTGGTTTGATTTTCATGTTATATTGAATGTTTAATGACAAGATCAAACAGCAGTAAGAAAAGGGTTTGATTCAAAATGACTTGGACCAGAAAACATGAGGCTATAGTCTTGGTGAAGTTTTACAAAGTAATATTCTTTACCAGTACACCACTTCTGCCTTGTTGACCCCAGAGCTTGAGCCCCTGCCCCTAAGCTGAAACTGTCGAGACTGCTGCTGCTCATACTGATGTCAAATGACCATGTGGCCTCTTGTTGCAACTACAAAGGATCTTTCTGCAGGACTTTGTAAACTGCTGGAAATAAAGCTTTTTATTATTTCATTATATGTGTTTTGGGCTTTCAATTTAAATTTTCAAGATTGTGTACTTTTCTCCTGCTGTCATGGTAAGCCAATGGCTATGGTTACATGCACAATTAGAAGATTTTTGGAGCTAAAAGAAACAGCAAAATCATCAGATTTATTTCTGATCATGGTCCTTCTGAATTCTTACCTCAAATTGTACAGTTTGCATATCTTTTAAGTAATTCATATGTTTGAGAAATCAAATATTAATCTGATTTTGATGAGCTTGTAACCGCAGCGGAGGTGTGTAATGAGGGTTTGAATGTGAACTAATATTTGTCCTTATATGCCAGTGTGTCTTGCAATTAACTCCCTATTGCTACTACATGTTGCCTCCAGCAAAAGTTCTTCAACTAGCAAATATAAGCAGAAAAAGATGAATGAATGCAATACAATGAAACTTCAAAACTGTACAAATTTTAATGGCAACTGTACAATAATTATGAAGGAAGAATATAAGTATATACAGTGATATAAAAATGACTCTCATGGCAGCAAATAGGAAGTACTAAAATTCAGTTCAGGAGAATGATTTCAGATGGCAAAAAATCTTTGCTGAATAAATGATATGAAAAAATTCTCCAAATACCACATCAGACTTTCTTTGGATAACGCTTTAGAATAACTGACTTACGTAAGCCATTTGTAAGATATTCATAAACATTACATGTCTACAAGCATTTATAAGTCACTATAGTCATTTATAGATGGCTTATAAGTTCCTTTGTTAATGAGGACTAAAAATCCACATTAAAAAACATATTTTTAAAAAATATATTAGAAAAAAAACAAAAAAACTCTACACCAATGATCGACAACTATCCCAAACCCTTTTACTGGAGTCAGCTAAATTTTATTGCCATTGTCTGTGAACAAAATTCACAAAGAGCATGCTTCAGTGGTTTGGTACAGCATTATACACTTGTACCAAATCTTAACCAGACACAGGTCCTCCTTTGACAACAAAGTTAATCTAACATACTGATCTATTATACATTTACGTGTACATTTTGACTACAAGCTTTTAGCCATGTTATAATTTTCCCCTCACAATAAGCTTATTCTTCACCTACTCCCTATCTTCATCCATTTTGCAGTTCACAGTGAAAAAACTCATTTACATATGATATAGTTTACTGCTAAATACATGACTTAATAAGCATACACACTTTTACTTATTGTGCAGCTGAGGTATTTATAAGCCATCTACAAATGTTAATTAACACAATACTAATGCCTACTAATACCATGTAAATAGTCTACTAAAAATCACTTATTTTAAAGTAATATCACGTACCGTTAAAAAAAAAAAAAAAAAAAAAGTGCAGATGTCAACATGTGATGACAAGAGAGCTGTTGCTGTTGCTCTGGTGTGAGGCCACTAGGGGGAGCAGCCTTTCTGTTCCTGCATCCTCTGCCCTCTCTGTTTGGAGCTCAGTGGATGACAAGCGCACACACAGAGCTTCGGCTACCTGCAGCACCTGGGATGGGCCTGTGACAAAGAATCAGTTATAAAACAAGTCCCAGACCAAAACATAATGTCCAACACAATGTATTTACCACCTCCTGTCCTGCTGTACGCCTCTAAAGTATCCATGACAATTCTCCCCAAGGCTTGACTGGACACGTTCTGTGGACAACCACAAATATAAAAATGTGCATGACAGGTTAGACTACATACATACATAGGTTAGACAAAAACTTAGCAAATGTAATTTTGTTGGATTTTTGCCAATATTTTATCTGTTTTCCTTATTTTGTGTGTAGCTGTAACCCCCAAACTGGAAGAGTGGCTACAACAGATACCGGGAAAAACAATGGACATCTCAGTCCAGAAAAGTGCAGTACTGGGAACAGCAAAGATACTGCGCAGAACTCTCAAGCTCCCAGGCCTCTGGTAGAGGACCCGAGCTGAATGAGGGTGAGAGAGACCTACCACCGTGGAAGGTGAGAAACACATTTTTTTTATATATATATATAAAATATACAATATATAAAATTTCAAAACCTTTTAAATTTTTTTCTTTACAAGCTGACACTAAACTGGTTTAAAACTATGATAAACTGATAGTTTCCCACCAACCCAAGCATTTTTTATTTTTTTATTTTACCTTATTGCGCAATTGGAGCAGTAATGTAAGTGCATCAGTGAGCTTTTCCTCCAGTAAAGACATCCCCTGCCTCTGCATCTTGTCTCCAGAGTGAGAAGTCTGCAAACAGCATGAAGGGAGAGTAATAAGGGCTTAAACACTTAGCTTAAATGCTATGTTCAATTAGGTCATCGGAAAATAAGGCATACTGTATATGACTTACTTTCATGTTATATATTTTGGAGATTTGCATTTAATATATAGAACATGAACACAATAACAGTGTGCTCATGTTTCTCCAACCCACTTTGATATAGCTTTTTACAAATAGTCATAGAAGGCATTTTTTTTTTTTTTTTTTTTTTTTTTTTTTTTTTTTTGGAGTGTACCTTGTCTGGTGCCTTGCCCTCCTTGTTGTCCTGGCTCAGACTGGCTCCACTCCATCGCCCTCTATCCTTGGAGATGCTCGCCTCTCTGTCCAAACTCTGACATCTGACACAAGAGTCAGATCATGTTAAGCTATGGAAAAAAAAACCCTCATGAATATGTGTTAAACCCGATTGGAACTGACCCTTTCCCACAGCTGCGCGTTCGACTGCAATGCCTCTTCATGTCCACCAGGCAGCGCTGTCTCTCTTCTGCAGCAGCTCTGTCCTCCTCCTCCTCATCTGAGGCAGCTTTGCCCTCCACAGCCCTCTGAAGACACTCTGCATCTGGAGCACACAATGCACATACTGCTTATTCAGGTTTGTTAGATTTTAAATATAGTGATAAGAGATACTGTAAAATATTGTTAATTTAAGTTCTTTTTATGCTTCTGTTATTTTTATTTCTGGCTTCTTAATAAAATATCAACATCCAAGGGTCACAGATTTCATATTATGGCATTTTAACCACTCCTGTTTTCAGAAGGCTTCCTGGGAGCTGTAGTCTGATAAAAGCATGTTTGATCTGACTGAAGAGTACTATTTCAAAGCTGTCAGCAAGCAACTAAAATTAATAAGACTGAATAGAAATATCCAGGCTTTCATACATGTCTGAATTCAAAAGGCCACAAACCTGCCACCTTGGCATTGTCAGCACCCACTGGGTGAGTCCAGTCCTGGGTGGAGGTGGTCAGACAGCTGCAGTGGGATCTGTGGTCAGAAAGAGACGTCACATATGGTTTCAGTGAATCTATTGTATATTTGTACAGTGTGTTAATAGATCCACATGGTACTCATCTATCCTCAGACTTCACATAACAGAGGGAGGAACAAATGAGAGTCCACAGGCATATAAACATAGAACAACTCGCAAAAGTTAACTGGAATGTTTTTTTTTGGGTTTTTTTTTTTTTTTTTTTTTGGAACAGTGTAGTGTAATAACAACATCTTTGCAGAAAATGCAGTGGAAATACAAGTAGATCAACCTATTCAGCCATGTTAACTTAACATAAAAAAGCAGCTCATTAATTCAAAGCAAAATCCTGGTGCATGGGCCCAAGATGAGTCAGTTATGTTTCCAGTGTTGCTGTGCTACCTGTGTGTTGTGTGATACGTGTGCATTGTTCTGATACCTGTGCTGTTGCAGTTCTGTTTCCAGGTGCTTGACCCTGGCCTGTAGTTGTGGCACACTGTAAGCCTGCTCCTGGATCAGACGTACTCTGTCCAGCCCCAGAGTCAGTGCCTCACGGGCCTCCTCTGCTCGCCGCCTGCTCCGCATACATTTAACATTGTAAAAACCACCACATAACAGTCTGAACAAATTAGGGACTTGATTTACACACAGAGGAAAGCATTTCTCACCTAATGTGAGCATTCTCCTTCCTGAGGGCTGACTCCAGGGCCTGCAGTTTGCGTACCTCTTCATAGGCCCAGCGGAGCTCCTCCTCCAACTGCTCATTGAACTTCATGGCCTCTTGCAGCTGGCCATCCCGGGACGATCGGATCAGCTTCAGCTCTCTGAGCAGTGGGTCTCTGGCCTCTCGTCTCCTGACTGCTGCCCCAGCAGACCCACCCTTGATCCTGTGAGTTGGCACCAGTTTGCCTTGACTGAAGCTGATGGAGGAGGAGGTGGGCGTCCTTGGCTTGATGGTGGTGGAAGATGCCAGGCTGCGGGTGCGCTCTCTCCTAAGGGCCACCTCCAGAGCCAGGCAGCGAGCATCACTGCCCTGCAGTGCCGAGCGTAGGTCCTCCACCAGCTCTCTCAGAGCAGCTGTCTCATCTGCAGACAGGACACTGATCGACACTGGACAACATACAACATAGGGACAACATACATCAAAATGAGTTTAAAGAGTTAAATATTAAATCAAAGAATGCACCAGACAATAATGTGCTAGTGATATGCACTGTAGGCCTTCAGTGCATAATCATATGTTTTGTTTTTGATTTATACTCTCAAACTGGCAAGGATATTTTCAGTGACACATGCAGTACCATCAACATGGTATGACTTAAGACTGAAGGACTTTTGTGCTTGTTAGTGCTGTTACACAATTATACGGGCTTAAGTGTTTACATTACCCAGGTGAATAACAAAACTTGTCACAGCGGTGCTGAAGATTAAAGTACAGTCCTTAGAAATAGGCCAATACCTGCCTGCTCCGCGCTCGTGCCTCTCGGGGCTCTCGCACTTCCAAACTGATCGCTTGTCAAGTCAAAACTCACACACTTTTTACGTCTTGGTCGTGGCCACCTCAGTCGAATATTTCTCTCCACGAGCTCAGTGTCCTCAGTGACGGGCACACGCCACGCGCACTCGCCATTGCCTTTGCGCGCACAGCGGACTCGAAAGTACCCACAGAGACGCGCGTGAAAGTCTTTGAAGGAGAGTTGCGATGGCAATTCCGCGCACACATGCATATATTCCTCATCCCTCTCAGCTTGAGTCGCCTCACTTATCCCCAGCACTGCGCACAGAGCCGTGAAGTCTTCAGCGCTCACTGTATCATCCCGGTGGGAATAAGCCAGATGGTGGAAGACCTCCTGGAGATACTGATCTATGCCTGTAGCGAGGACGACGATTTCATTGTCCACCCCTGGGTCAGGCCGGTGATGGTGGGCCAGCGCGCTCCGCAACCACTCACTTTTACGCACGGCTCTTGGAGAAGGATCAACACGCTCCATGCGTGCACCTAGAGCTGTAGTGTTGACTGACACTCAGATGTGGTAGGTAGGAAACACTCAAGCCCGAGGGTTTGCCAGACCAAAGACCCACCCTCTATGCAAGCCCTGCGCGGGGAGGGGGATCATACGTGAACAAGATGTTTCCTTTCTAGACAAATATAGATGCTTTCTCCTAAATGCTTGTTGACAATAGTATATGAAAAAGCAAGACTTTATTGGGCATTTTATATACATGCAGTTTCTAAAATACAATAAACAATAAAAATAATACCCTAATGATTAATTGAAAGGTGCAATATGTAACTCGAATGCATTAGATTAATCTTAAAACAAAACAAAACAAAAAACAAAACAAAAAAAGTCTATGTCTATGGATGGTAGAGAAGAATTAACATGTCAGGTTTAAAGCACATGATTCACGGCTCTGTCACACTGCACACGACTCACATTAACAACTGTCACCCACTTCCTGTAACCTGAGCCCCGCCCACAGGAACTGAAGCTGCCCAAAAGGTGACTGCACAGTGCTCATTCACTTCTCTGACAGGAGCAACAATAGACGGCTCCACCCGGACACTCTGAGTAATAACAACACATGGACTGAAAAAATACAAGGGGCCTTTGGTTTAAAGATAAATATACATGCAAGTAATCAAACTAAAATGTAGTTGGATAATGCTGCCACTCACAACTTACAGTTAGATAGTTGGGAACCTTAAATGATCCACAAGGGAAAATGCATGAGCACATTAATGCTTTTTTTTTTACAAAGGAGGTGAAAACTAATTTGAATGAGGATAATGGAAAGAATAAAATCCATGTTTATATGAACACCTAAGCAAAGCATATTTTACACAACACAAGAGATGGTTTTATTTGTTTTGTTTTGGTCAAGATTTCTTTGGCATTAAACCACTGTAGATATATCCACTGACCTTATTCAAGCCTGGCCCCTTTCAATCCAGTGTTTATCCTGCGTTTATCATTGTATCCTGCCTATTCAATTATTCTAATGAATGTCAAAATCACAGTTCAGTGTTTTGTAAGTACTTTCTTTTACTTATTTTACTACATTATTTTTGATGACCTTCCTCAGCCCTATACCCTTATTAGTATATTAGTATATTTCTCTTGTATTGTTTTGGTGAACTGGTCCAGAAATACAATGTAAACCTGAACTACTGTAATTTACTGTAACCCAATACACTTTCTGATTGACCTGTATGCATATGACTCACGTGAAGAGCTCATTGTTATGTCTTTGTGTTTGCACTAATGTGACTCATTGGCTTTTACCTGAAGTTAATTGTATTTGGTTTCAGTGCTACTTTGTACCACAGACCTCACCCGAACACACACATAAATTGTGCTGGTCTGCAGATAGTATAAAGTTTTGTTTCCTTCTCCCTGAGAGAGACGTGCAGAGGCAGGCAGGCACAATCTGAACTCCTGTACTCGCTCGTGGAAACTATGCTGCCCCTCAGGCCTTGAGAAAAACCTTGAGAAAACTCCGAAGGTCAAGGTGTGCTCGGATACAACAGAGCAAGATAAAGATTTATGTACATATCAGACAAAAAAAAAAAAAAAAAAAAAAAAAAAAAAATATATATATATATATATATATATATATATATATATATATATATATATATATATATATATATATATATATATATATATATATATATGACAGCCTAACCATTCACTCACTTACATGTTCATAAATGAGAAAGGTGGGTTAGTGGTGAGTGAATGTCTTGTCCAAGGACACAACAGCAAATCTCTACTCTGCTCCTCTTGCCAAGACATCGTCTGCTAAACTATCCAGAGCTAACGGCTCTCATACTCTCTACTACTACTACTACTCTAAACTACTCTGCCTGCTTCTCTTCGTGGGTATTATCTCTCCCTGAAGTGAAGACACTTTCTACTTGAGCTTCTGGTAATCTCAGTTATTTCTAGTTGAAGTAAAGAATTTATTGGTCAACCATTAAATGAGAATTTCAGTGTTATCCACAGTTAACCATTAGCTGAATAGCCTGTTGTGGACACATACTACAGCACCAAATGCTGTTAATAGAAGATTTCCAGATTTTTGGGGGGGAGACCCTCTTCTAAGATGCAAGGGGCTTATGTGAATCTCTTTAATAGATGCTTTGCTGGAGAGAAATACCCCTGCATTACATTGGCTTATCTGTTGTCTTTGAGGAAACAGAGCCTGAGTCCTCCAGCTGCCCATGCTCAGAAGAACAGATCTGAAAATAAAAGAACGCAGAGGGCAGTAAAAGAGAGAAAGAAAGACAGAGAGATGTGTGTGTGAGTGTGTGAGTGTGTGTGTGTGTGTGTGTGTGCGCGTGTGGTTGGGGAGGGAGGGTGTATGTCACGCGGCCTGCAGTTCACCTCAGAGGGAGGGGAACAGGATCATCAGTGAAGATATAGGGTTTGGTGTGGCCTTTGTTGGTGGCCATATGCTCCCCTGAGGCTAGACAAAAGAGAAATGGAGAATACACCTCATGTATGTCTTTGAAGCTGAGACACTGTGAGAGATGAGTTTGTCACTACTCATCTCTATCTGACCCTCACCCTGTAGGAGGCCAACTCTCCAAACAAGCCCACATCACATGAGCCCGAGTCTGTCCTCATTTAGTGAACTGTGTTTAAGTAAGTTTATTTCAGATTGAGTTTATCTGGATTGATAATTTCATCTCACAAGTAGGTCAGTTCTTCAATCATCCATGTGTTTCTACATTGTCAATTAGCACTGCAGGTTCCACGGCCAATTCTTAAAGGTTCTATGTTATGTAAAATTGACACTTGTGAGCTTTAAGTCATGTAAGATTGTTATTACCTCTTCTTCAAAAGCATAACTGGAGTTGTGTTTTTATTCATTCACACATGCTTGAGTAACCCTTTATTATTAGTCTGTTTCCGTCTCCAAAGCTTTAAATCTCTCTTCCACCGTATCAAGTTTTGCTACTTTTTACCTTTTGTTCAACACAGATTGGCAATTCCAGAGCTGAAATTATCTAAATGATTCCAGCAAAGGTGTAAGGAGTTTAAAAAGACAGTGGAGCACTTTCTGTATTACCACAAGGTGGAGTGTTTTATGTTTGAGAGAAGAACTCAGGCTAAATATGCAGGATTTATGCTTTAGACATGTGTGAATGAAACAAAATACAACTTCAGATATGTTTTTGATGAGGAACAAACATTACAACATAGCTCATTTAACAGTGTAATATGGGCCCTTTAAAACAAAATAATTGTATTTATGCCCTTAAATGTATTTAATCTGAATGTTTTAAATTTAAATTGCACTGTTAAAAATAAAAAAAAACTGATTTGGTTGGGTTCTGCATACACATTGATGTCCCCCAGTGGAATGTAGGGTTCATGACTTTATTTGAAAGAGCACATACGTATGTACTGAGGGAAGGAGAGGGTAGAGACATTCAGCAAGAAACTCACAACAAAAACTTTCAAAAATGAAACTATACCATTGGACGCTATTGTCAAGGTTTATACGTGTGTTTTAGTGTAATGAGTAATGAGTGAACTGCGAGTATAACTGTAGTTTCCTTCTGTGTGTACCCAGGTGTGTCTATCTGTTTATACTCTGGAACAATCTTTGACCTCAATCTCCAGAATACCAGACTAAATACAGACAAGAAATCATGATAATAATGTAGGTGAGTAGAGATACCCAAGTTTCAGAGTAACATAATTTGAAATATTATTACTTAAGTAGAAGTAAAAAATAGTAACACAGATATTTCTTCAAGAAAGAGTAAAAAGTATGTAATGTAATTTGACAGACAAAACCTTTTTTAAGGTAAAGGAGAAATTTTGTCAACTGGAGAAAAGTTTTTTAAATTTTTTTTATTGTATTATTATTTTTTTTTTTTGAATGCATTACATGAAACGTTTTTGACCCCAAAAAAAACTTTTGTCCAGTTGACAAATTGAATTTCCCCTTTACTATGGATTCTACCGGGATGACTGAGGTATTTTACATACTTTTTTTTATTTTTTTTGTTAAAACAGACACCATAATTATAAAATTTAAGTGTAAAAAGCACAAATCTAATCATATAAAGTAGTCATAAAGTAAGAGTACTGTTACTGTTAAAAATGACTCAAGTAAATACCCATCTCGGAGTGTGTGAATGTTATTGCTCCTGTACATGCATATTTTAATGTAGTACTGCATCTTTGGACTTTGCTGTTTGACTTGTTTGGACATGTCCTCTGAATCTCTGAAGCATTTAATCCAAATGTCAATCCCTGCGGATGCTTCCATGGACACAAACCAACATCACAGACACAGTGAGGTGATGGCTGTTATTATTATTGATGACTGTTAGTTTATTTTGCAATGCCCCAACTTGAAGAGGCAACCTTTCTTCTCAGAATTTCAGTAGGTGGATTTCACTCCAATGAACAGACTTTAATTTCCTTTTATGTCTTTTTTATTTCAGGTTTTGTGTTATAGATAGGTAGATTTTAAGTAATGAAGGCTAATACATTATCGTCAGTGTTTCCTCCTTTTTGTCTCAAAACATGTATGAGGGACCCATCTGGCAGAATAGAGGGTGTGTTTGGCCAGTTACCCCACAGGTCACTAAAATCAATCACTTTCTTTGAGCTACAAGCTGGTTTGTTAAGATAAAATGTTGTGAAGCAAAGTGACAAAAGCCAGTTTCTCAAAATGCATTTCAACAGATCATGTGCTGATATCTTATTCTTAGAAAGTTTAACTTCAAATAATGAGGTAAAATTCACACTCAACACTCAATTGTTTGTGTATCTACAGTAATATATGAACCAAATAAAGCAAGAAATGTGACTATAAATTTTTTCAGATGTATATGTCCCATATGTATAGAATTATGGCAATATTTACACCTTAACCATCTTATTTATACCTGAAAACTGTACATAATGAAAACACTACAAAACTACAGTTTCAAATTCATATCTCTAAATTTAAGATTTTTCCCCATTCACCTGTGATATCTTAAATTCTAAAGTATAGTAAAACATGGGGAACTAACAATTGTTAAGTGCATTCCAATGAGATATAGGTTTTATTATTTCTCACTGATCTAAGGTAGACATTAGTGAAAATCAGATCACATTCACAAATTTGAAAAATGTGCCTTGCTGCTTAAATGGATTTTGCCTATACACCACAAAGCGTGAACAACATATTTTGAAGATAAAACCAATGGTATCCTATAGTCATTTTTATTGTGTCAAAGGCCTGCGGTGGCTCAGATGGGCAGGCGTCCTTGAATGACCTCTCCCTCACTTTGTTGCGGTCCATAAACTGTTGAGCCATAGTGGACATCTGTCAGCCCAGTGGTGGCCCCTCTGTAGGTGTGTGCATGTTAGGGTCAGTGAAACTCCAACACTCATCATGTGGAACAATCCCATCTCCAAACAACTCTGTGGCTTGATAGATGAGAGAGAGTCAACACAGCGCCTGGAGTGGTTGAGAGAGAGGATATTATTGGATGTGATTTATGTGGATCCAAATGTAAACGCCACTCTATTGTGCCCTAAAGTAAACATTTCCTCATTCCCCAGATATGGACGGAGCAGCCCTACCTTTGAGCTGTCCCACCTGTGGAAAGGGTCACGGCTGAAACTAAGTGCACACACACACGCACGCTTATGTTGGGTTTGCATGCTTTTTGGAGACATTACATTCACTTCTTGGAAACTGATGCTTGACCAAAGTTATAAGCCTAAACATTAACCTAAACTGATCAATATGTTTTAAATGGAACAATAATTTTGGGGGGGTCAATATTTATCTTGGGGAGTCAATATTTATCTTGGGTACTTTTGTACTAGAGGGAAAACACTGGTTATTATTCTGTACGATCAGATTTGAGCTGTAGAAGGTTGAATTATTAACTTCTATGACTCATTATAGATACAAAATAACTAGTGTTGCATTCTGTCATTGCAGTTCATGTTTTTTAACAATACTGAATGTTTAAAATACTTTTGGTGGAGAATTTTGCTTAATGTTTTGGTTTCAATATTATCGTTTATCGTCTATTTTTAGTTCAGCAATGTATCGCACTTCAAAATATGTTATCGTGACAGGCATAATGGTATCCTTGACATATTTTAACTATGTTGTTGATTTAATAATGAAGGATTTACATCATAGGGACCCGATTTTGTCCCCATAATATTTATGGGTTTCAGGCATAAGGATTTTTTCCTGGATTTCCCTTGGCAATGGTCCTCCATTTTAGTAATAGTGCAATTCCAATCTCAATCCAATCCAACTTTATTTGTATTGCAAGTGGTTTGAGTTGTATTTAAAAAAAAAAAAAAAAAAAAGCTCTATAAATAAAGTTTGATTTGATTTGATTGCATATTTTACCCACACAAGGTTGAATAAAATTAAGCATAAAAAATAAATAAGCGAGTCAATAAAAAACAGCAAATTCAAATCAAATATCTTTTTGAATGGATGGAATAATTTGCATGAAACAGATCATGAATACAGATTTTAGACCCCACAATATGATAAATACCAGTCCACACACAGAAAGGAGGGGAAAGAGAAGAGAGAGAGGGGGGGACTACATTCCTTATACTTCCAGTGCAGAAACAGGAGGGGTGTGAGCAGACAGGACATGTGTCTGCAGGTATCACAGGCTGAGGCAACACTTCTTGATAAAAACACATCATAAAAAGGTCACTACTCATCACAGAGTCTAAAAAGAACTATGTTTACATACTTTAAATCTGATTACATCTGTCTGGCAAGCTCAAAGTGGAATTTGGATTTCGTACTCATTTCTTATTATGTTCAGTATTTTGCTTCTATTACTTACATAATTATTTTCTCTGGCCTATTTATTAGCCCACTGTTTGAGAAATATATCGGATATCTTTTTCATCTTTATGAGTGTAATTATTGTATAGCCTATAGGCCTATACTCTGTCTACAAAAATATACAATCCATCAACAGTCAGTTGTAATAGTGTTTGGACCAGCTTTAAAGTAATCCTTGATCACTAAAAGGATTAGGTAAATTCCAGCTCGATAAAACGTAAAACCAGTAAGTGGTTCCAAACTTCATTCCTTGGGGCAATCTTCATTTGATTAATGGTCCTGACAATTAGGCTAATCATTTAGGTTTTCCTGTTGAATGTAGGCTATATCACAGAAATCAGAAAATAGGCTGCTTGACGTTTTACTGTGCGCATGTAACCCATAGGACTGTACGAGGCTAACCCTAACCTATGAACCCTGAGCTTTAAGCCATACCAGAATGTTGTGTCCTCCTCAAAAACATACCTGGAGTTGTGTTTTGTTTTATTCACACATTTGAGTAACACTTTAATATTAGTCTGTTTACACCTCCAAAGCTCAAAATGCTCTGTTCCACCTTATGATGTCATGAAGAGGTAGTTTTCAAGTGACCTCAAGTTACCTTTTGTTCTTTAGAGGTTGGCAGTTGCAGGGCTGACATTATCCAAATGTTTCTAGTGTAGGTATATGTATCATAAAATCATAAAATCATGACATCATAAAATCGATCAGAGTGTTTTCAGGTTAAGAGATGGACTCACCCTAAATATGTATGGTTTGTGTGTAATGCCTATATTTTGTTTCATTCACATGGACAAAAGAGCATTATATGGGTGCTTTAAAATAACACCGCAGCGTGAACCGTCAGCCACTATTGCAGGGGTCTCCACCCTTTTTCCTCTGGTGAGCTATGTTTACAAAACAAAAATGCCAGTGAGCTACTCATTTTAGCAGACGCAAAAACTGAGATGATTATAAGAAAGAGGGCAAACTTTTGGATACTGTTAGATGCCTATAAAACATAAATCACTGTCCATTTATTAGTGCACAATGTTGGGGTTCAGAATTATACATTTACAATAGTAATAGGCATGTAATTTCTCTCTTTTCCCTATATTTATTTATTTACATATTATTATTATTATTATTATTATTATTATTCATGATTGTTAAATTAAAATTTTATTATTTTACTGGAGGGGGTTTGGGGAATAAAAAATGTCACATTATATTACTACAAATAGTTTTTTCTCTATGACATCGGCTTTATGTGCACAAAATAAAAATAAAAATAATAAAAAAATTAAATAAATAAATAAATATTCAGCAGTGCCCTCCAGTAACATTTATTAACATATTTTTTTTATTATTTTTTATTATAGTTCCATGTTTGATCCCGAGCTACAGGTTGGAGACCCCTGCTCTATCGTCTTCTACTGCCCTCTACCGGTGGATTTAACGCAGCACTGGTTTTGTTCGGAGCAACTCGGGTAAATTCGGAAAAACTCGTACAGTGGGCGTGGTCGCAGCGACACAATCGGATGATCCCGGAGTGGGCGGAGCCAAGCAGGAGGAAGTGGACTCACTGCTCCAAGAAAACCGGTCACCAGCATCCAAACCCTGGCAATTTATACGCACTTCTCCATCGCCACAGCAGCCCACAGGACAAATCTCACCACCGATCCTCAACCTGCGCGTACATTATTCTACCTCTCACGTCTAGGCAGCGTGTTTATGCGTCGAGCTCCAAAAATATCCGTGTACGACTTGGAGATTAAGTGCTGAATTATAATGGAGACGCAGATCCATGTGCCCGTAGGGTCTCCGGCAATTAAGAAAATACCGGTTTACGTGGACGAACAAAATGTCACGGAAGGTGCATTGAAGCTTATAAAAGAGCTACGACCAGCGTGGGACCCAAGCGATGTTAAAACCAAGGTAAAAGCCCCTGAGCTAACTGTAGGCTAAGCTAAGCTAAGGATGACAACTCCGCAGCATCACCTAGCAGTCCAGTGGGCAAGAGCTGCTGTGTGCGGCTGGGATGGGTGGACACGTAATGGAAGGGGTATGGGACACATTTTGGTTCCAGTTTACTAATATGTTGTATTTAAAATGTCCTGATGTGTATCTTCTGTTACTATACTAGAGCACGGGGAAGTTCTAATTTCTTGTAAGGACTTTAAGCAAATATAGCATGCAAACGCCAAGCCACGCTGCCATCTTTCAGTGTCACTGGGCATCTGGCGGTGACATTCATCGATGTGTGACACAGACAGTACAGCTGATGATCCTTACAGACTAATAGTAGCTGACTACTTCCAAAATATGACTTAAAAAGTTTCTGTCTCCATTTAGGCAAGCAGGCCAAGTTAAAGGTCAAATCTGTGGAGAGGCAATTTCACTCACAATAAGAATGCATACTTGTCAGTGTATGTTTGAGCAATAAAAACGACTGCAATTAACTAAATGCATGATAGATAATTACAAATTGTAAACATTCTCGGCTAAGCAGTAGTTTAGAGGGACAACCAGTAGGTAGACCCTTCCCCAGTCAAAACGTTACATAGTGCTTGTTTCCAAAGAGGTGGTGCTGTTTGTGTTTTAGTCAGTGGAAAGAACATTGAAGAGCCAGCTTGGAAAGAGCTCAGATGTCACAGCCAGGTCAGCGTTGGTGACTCAGCGTTCAAATTTGTCAGTATTTGAATAAACTGTGTTTTTACAGGATGACGTTGTGTAATCTTTCCCTGCATTTTCTCCCACTCAGCTCACCTACAGTTGAGAGAATGTGCAGCCTTTTTCTCAATGACCACCACCCAGCCATATTTTGTCTATGAAGTCTGAAGTCCTGAATGGAGGGTGCATTTATTCATTAACATGCACACATATATAAGTACTGGTCTAGGAAGAGTGGATTCAAACATAGAGTAGATAGAATGTATGTGTTCTTCAATAGTTAATACAATGTTTGGATCACAGTGTGACATGTTACATGATAAGGACAACTGCTCTACCAACCAAAGCACTTCTGATCCTATCCAAACACAAAGCTTCATATCTGCTTCTTGCCAAGAACAACACGTTTCATATCTTCCACATTGTTTAAGCTGACCAGGCCCTGTTTGTGTAATCTATTCAGAGTTATTGAGTGCAGCCAATATGACTGGATGTTTACTTCTGTCTGGAGGCTTATTGCTGTGCCCCAATGTATTGGTGACTGTTTTTTAGCTGTGTATTGTAAGTAAGTAGAATGGGTCAGTCATGTGGTAGCAGAGACATGCATGTGTGTAGTCATAACAGGGATGCCTGGCCGCCCATCTTTGTGGTGAGTTGTGCGTGGAATGTCAGACATGTGTGAGTGGGAGTGCTCTGGGAGATGCTCACTAGATGTTACCAATGAGTCTGCTGTGCTCCAAAAGGTGAGCCTCTCCCTGTGGATGATGGCAGTTGAACTGAAAGCATAAAAAATGCATACAAAGTGCACAAGGGTCCCCTTATCTGAAGTGGTGATATAAACTACCTACCTGACTACTTTGACTAAAATTTACAAGGCAAATGGCATAAAATACAAAATAGGTAATGCTTCAGTTTTTTTTTTTTTCATACAGTGTTAATGGGTTCATAATCTTCTCTAATGAAATATTTTCCGTTTGTTCCAGCTCTTTAAGGATGGCACTACAAACAAGCTGGTGGGCTGCTATGTGGATGATAGTCCAGAGGATGTGGTATTGGTGAGAGTTTATGGGAACAAGACAGAACTGATTGTGGACAGAGATAATGAGCTCAAAAGCTTTCAGGTAAAGAATGAATTGAATATGGCTCTTTGCATACTTCTCTCGTCTTAAAAAAAAAAAGTATATTTCAAATAACTGCTTCTTTTTCTGTCACAAGGTACTGCATGCAAACGGTTGTGCTCCCCGACTCTACTGTACCTTTCAAAATGGCATCTGCTATGAGTTTATGGAGGGAGATGCTCTGGGCACACAGGATGTCAGAGACCCTTCACTCTGCAGACTTATAGCCAGGGAGATGGCTCGTATTCACGCCATCCATGCACACAATGGCTGCATCCCCAAACCCAACCTGTGGATCAAAATGCGCCAGTACTTCTCTCTGGTGGCAACAGAGTTCACTGACCAGGCATCTAATATCAGGTGAGCTCACTGCTGATTATTGTACACGCCTCCAATGATAATGCAAATTGGTTCACTATCAGTGACCTTGTTTTCTGTCATAGCTTATGAGAATGAAGAACCTTGAACCATATTATCTTATAGTTGTGATTCTCTAGCAATATAAATTCCGTGGTTATTGACATTTAATTAGTATTGGTGGTTATTTAACAGCACATCATGTCACCCAATATATAATAAGAAAAGACCATGGAAGATTGTTATACAAGTGACCCCTAGTGAGAATGAAACAATGCACATTCTGAAAGTCTAGATGCCTGGGAATTTTCAACAGTAATTTAAACGATTGGATGTTCATTGGATTGACGTTTCACCACCAATCAGACATCATTGGGACTGGTGTGGATGTAATGTTCTTGTAGGAAAATCACTGACTTGGTTGGGTACAGGCACTACATCAGAGGTAACAGAGGTATGTGGGATGTTGGATAACCAGGGCTGCTGTTACTCCTGCAACTTGCGTGGATTACATCGATGCTTGGCTGAAGTCTCTGAGTGGTTTATACAACTGTACTGTACATAACGCTATGTCAATGCAAGAGTACAGGTTAGATATGAGGAGTCTGTGGCATGCAGAGCGCAGCAGATGTTTGCTCAGCTCATCAGATAGCTTGTTCTTTCTGGGTGACTGAGACAGGACCTTATGTCAGACTGGAGAGGAGAGACTGTAAGACCTTCTCTTCAAAAGAACAGTTCCATGTTTTTTATGAAGAAAATCCTTTGGTAAATCTTTAGTAGAGCTTTTCATGTGTTGTGGAGGAAGTTAGTTTTTACTTTGACTTGCTCTTACTTTGACTAGGGTTAGGTATCATTAAGAAGTTGCCAATACGATACATACCTTAATACATAGGCCATGATATGATGCATATCTCAATACAGTGCACTTTCGTTTTGATAAGATATATTTCAAATGGATTCAGTGCGGTTTAATAAAAAAAATAATGGCTAAATGATGACTGTGATACTAAAAGCTTTTGTGAAACCAGTTCTTTTGCAAAGTTAATAAGAAACACACCCATTTTAATCACCAAAACTGTGAAAATGTTAAATGTGTTGCATAAACAAGTTTCCTTCCTCTAAACTGTAGTGCTCTAACAAAGTAATTTTGTAAAATATACCAAAAAATACTCTTGGTGATATATCAATACAGCAGTCCCCGATATTGATACTATTATCATATTTCAATATTTTTGCACACCCCTAACTTTGACAATGTGTGGATTAACTCCCATAAGCCCATTAGATACTGCTCAGGGCAGTGGTTCTCTGTCTAGTGGTTGAAGTAAACACTTTTCATCTTGCCCCTGACACAACTGGCTTGAAATCCCTCACAGCCACATTTAAAGGTAAACACTTGGCAAGGTAAATACTTGTTTTTATCTTCTGCCAATGCTCACATTGACTTAAAAATGTAAGCATGATACATGGCTGTGTTTTCATAGTGACAGGTGGTTGGATGCCCAGTGAGGTTAAGAATCTGTTGTTTTAGCTGTTCTCCTGGGACCCTGCACCCCACAGAGCCCTGTTGGCCTCATGAGTATTAAGTGTACTTTGCCTTAATGACTTAAACTATATTACCAGCTGACGCTGATGTAAAATAACTAAAACTCTGCAGTCTAGTCTAACAGTGTTCTGTACTCTCTTCCTCTTTTGTGTCATCCAGGATCCAGCAGGAGGTCCCCAGTCAGGCTGTGCTGGAGCAGGAGATGGCGTGGATGAAAGAGCATCTGTCCACACTGGGCTCCCCTGTGGTGCTGTGCCACAACGACATCCTCTGCAAAAACATTATCTACAACAACAAAGAGGGTGGGTATTTTGTGAAGGCTGTTTCACCTCAATACATGGATCTGAGTGAAGAGCTCTGCTCTACAGAGCTTATGAAGGCCTTTAGTCAGGAAATACATTCAGTCTGTACCCATACTCTCAAAGCTGTGAGCTATAATGCCTCATCTGTACAGCATCTTTGTGCATAATTGAGTTGAAACGTCTTCAGATAAAAGCCATATCTATCTTAAAGTTTTAAGTGAAACTTTTTTTTTTACCCTACCAGTTTTAAAAAACACACTTTTTTTTTAATTTATAAATTGAGAGACTATCCATAATATACATTGCCCTTTACAAGAGATGCATTGTACCAGGTTGTACATTGTAAGTACAGCTAGCAGCTATGTATAGGTACACAGGTCAGTTTTTAAGTCTAGATTGTTGTTTTTGTCTTTTTCAGGTCATGTTCGCTTTATAGACTATGAATACTCCAGCTACAATTATCAGGCTTTCGACATTGGCAACCACTTCAACGAATTTGCAGGTTTGTTCAAATACAGTTCTGTATCATGTCTGTGGTTTCTCTTTTGTGTACATTCCTGAATAGTTTGAGTGTTGTTTAGGTATGGCAGAACCTGACTTTGACCTCTACCCAAGCCGGGAAATGCAGATGGAATGGCTCCGTGAGTACCTGCAGGCCTACAAGATCTTCACCAATAAGAGCGAGGAGGTCAGCCAGGCAGAACTGGAGACGCTTTATGTACAGGTCAACAAGTTTGCTTTGGTGAGTAGATGTGTCTCTTCATATAGTCATCTTTTGTACATGTATTATAATTACTTTTGCGGGACAGCCCCAAAAGCTATAAAAATAGTGACTATATACAGTATTTATACTAGTTTTGTCAAAAGTATTGAAAATCACATGCTAATCTACACTAAAACTATTATGAAGATTTTTTTTTTTTTTACTAACTTATAGTATTTGACTTTTCCAGAAGGGTCTGGAGCTTTATCAGAACTTCTGTATAGTACATGGTAATCTTAAGTACTACTGTATTATGTAGTGCTCAAAACTATTTGAATGATCATTATTCCTTAGTATCAGTTTGAAATTTGTATCATTACAACACTAAATATGCATTTGGGCACCTGAGTGTCTTCGTCAAGCTTCAATAGTAAAATTATGTGAATATGAAAATAGTGTGAATTGCTTCGTGTGACAGTTTACACAATCTAAATGCCATCTTACATGTTCTGTCTAGGCATCGCACTTCTTCTGGGGCTTTTGGGCTCTGATCCAGGCCAAGTACTCATCCATAGACTTTGACTTTCTCGGGTAAGTTTACATCTGTGTTTGTTACAGTGTGTGGCCCCCTCTGTGTAGGTCCTAATATGAGTGATGGGTGTGAGTGAAAGGTCTCTGTCAGTAACAGTGAAACTCCAAACCTAAAGACAGGACATATTGCTTTACATTTCTGCTGGACTTCCTGGCCCCACACTGGTACCAGAATGTCTCCCATCCTGTGTCTCCTATGACTGAATATTTAAGTGAATCCACCACAAATTAAAAGTGACTATGGTATCTTTCATTCTAGAATGAGTACATTTTGTAGAGTTATGTTATCTTTCCTTCCATATTTGTTAATATACAAATAATCTCACAATGCAAGCAAAATATTGGTTAGTATTTGTAATTTATTTTTCTTTGGCTTTTTCAGGTATGCGGTTCTACGTTTCAACCAGTATTTCAAGACCAAACCAGGAGTGATGGCACTTCAGGTCCCAGAATAAAAATATCTAAAGTTAGACACTTTACTCTGACCGTCAGAGATTGTAGTTGAACTTTATGATTTGGACCAACTTGGCATTTCTTCTGCAAGTGCTACTATTAATTTCTGTTTCTGTAAGTCAGCTGCAAGTCAAATTTTCAAACTTTTGAGTGCTTGTATGGTTGAATGTGTATGTTTGAATGCGTATCATCTAGTTTGCCTGGACCGATCTGTCCTGCATTTCCTCTTTGGGCAGCTTAACTGGGTGTATGGCACCCTGACCCTTGTACTGTCCTATCACTCATGGCAGTCAGTGTGAGACCACAGACTTTCGTACTGTGTCCCAGGCTTTGACCAAAACCTGTGCAGACTCTTCTCTGTTTGGTTGCTTCCGTCTTGGGAAGTGTTAGGATCTGCTGGTTTATTGCAGTGATTCTACTTCTAACACTTGTGTCTACTTATTTGTTTAGTGCAAACCGCTGCTGCTAACAAATGTGAAATCTGAGCTTTTTATTGTGCACTACAGTGAAATTATTGTCTACAGAGACAGGCATGGGTAAAGAAATCACTATCTTTAGTAGGGCTGGGTACCTTTTACATTTTTATAGGTACCACTACTTGAATAATACCTGTTTTTTGGTACCAGAACCTCAACTCTACTTTTTTCAGTAGCTTTTCCTGTATTGTTCATTTGATGATGAAGCAGGTACTGTTGATCCTAATGAACATTACACTGCTTTTAAATATAGCCAACTCTAAATAAGATTGCCTGTTGCTCTTGTTAGATACACTTTGCAGTAGTTTGCTCCATGCATTTTATCTGTTCACATGAACCTCTGGCCTTTCAGTCAAACTCCTGAAACATACACATCATATACATCACCTATAAAAAATTTTTGTTAGTTAGTCTTCATCATTTCAGATAGTAGCGTTCATCTTTCAGATGTAGAGAAGCACACTGAGGCAAGTTAAGTCACTGCTGTGTTATAACAGCTAGTGACAGCATTTGTGTTCTAATTTGTGTATAGAGAAATTTGAGACATAATAGCACCTCACTCAGTGATTCTTGTTTCTACTGAGTCGGGCTGAACAGCTTGACTCTTATGGCCATTTCTGCATGGACCTTTTCCGCCTACTTGACTTTTATAGTCACAAATGCTTGGATAACTTTTCCACTAAAAGTTTGAGCTTTTGAAAAATTCCAACCTTCCTCACATCTGCCACTGTACTGCCCACAGACATGTCCATTTATTGATACAGATGAATTGTTGTGCATGTGAGCAACTACATATAAAATACATATTTCATAAAAACAAATGATGTATAGATCCTGTTAGTGTACTACTTTACTAAATCAGGGAGTATGTCATAAAGAAAGTTGTTAGAAATATCCCTAAACCACATATGATGATCTGTTCATTGGTCAGTTTGTGTGTTACCTGCAGGGGGTGTTACTGAGCTCTCAGCTTTGTCTTTCCTTGCTGGTCTCAAGTAACGGGACATCTAAATAATTGACATGTTTCAGGCTGACTCACTGACTGACATTAGTAGCTACAGTAGTTTTCAGCCTGGCTCGTAAAGGTTCACTTAACCTGAAAATAACTTTCACCAAGTGGGGTCACTAGTGATACACAGTCAGTTGTGTATTTTGTTTAAAAAAGCTTTTGGTGCTTTATAGAATACATTGGCAAGAGTAGGATGGATTATCACAATAACAGCAACTAAATGTAAAGACTTCCATATGGACAAAGGAACATACATTAGCAGCTAATTTTACTGGTCTAAAAAGTTTATTCTCTAATGATCTGTTGCAATCTGATTCTCAAGTTTGCTTTCTCTTTGCACTGACAATGACGATATTTCAAGTGTGAGAATCAGTCTCCACTTGTTTACATGGAGATGATTTTGCTTTGCCTGGAATGTTCCACAGTATAGCAATACATTTCTGCATCTTAAATTGCAGGGGTTTTTATGGTCTTAGCGTCAACTAGTTGATTCCATGGAAAAAGACAATTTACTGTGGAACATTTTCATCAAAGAAGTTAATAACTCCATAGAGACAAGCAGGTGGGACCGTCCACCAGAAAAGTTAAAGTGCATCTTTTGAATGAAGAGGGTGAATTTGTGAAGACCAAAACAAAATGAAGTTAATGAAAAAAAAAATTATGAGACCAATAGAGAGATTGTAGTTGCTTTAAAGTAACATTGCGTTCTTGTAGCTGGACTCAAGTTCCATACAAGCCATTGAAGTGTGTCTACTTGAAAAATTCTTTATTTATTGTGACTTCAACTTATTGTCTGAATGCCTATGAATAGTTTGCTTTGCAGTTAAAATATTTTTGTTTGAGAATGTACTAACTTAATTATGAGACACTGTATACATAATTGTTTTTAATGCTGATCATTTTGTAATGCTTTGACTAAGCTGAGCTGTGAGGGCATGTACCTGAGTCGGACTGGGGGAGATAGACCATGTAAATACTGTAAGATTACTGTGAAGAGAACTCTGTGCAGTGGGCCCTTACACCTCTGTAGGAGTCAAACTAGACATATTTAACAGCTGTCAGTAAATATTTGCATAAAGTATGAAACCAAAATCTGTCTCATTGTTTTTTCCATGTTTGATCATTTCTGGATCTCATTTCAAAAATAAGCAGTGTGAGCTGAACATGAATGCTTGAACAATCTAAATGCTTTGAGCGCCTTGAAGGTGGAAAAGTAATATATAAAAATGTGACCATTTATCATTTAAATGACTTGTTTTAAGATCCTACTGACACACATTAGATAGGACACTGTGGTATTCTTGTTTCTATCTATCATTGTTAAATTGCAAAAAGAGAAAGATTTAAAAGATCCTATATTACAAAATTTAATTTTGAGTCATGATAGAATGTTACCTCAAAAACATATCTGGAGTCATTTCTTTCACACGTGAGTTACCCTTTGTTATGAAGTGGTAATTTAACCCTTGTATTGTGTTAGAAAGCTACACGCGTCTTTAGTGTTACCGGGTCAAATTTGACCCGTGATTTAACTCAGCCTGAAAATACTTAAAAACACTAGATATCATCCAATATTGTTTTTCCCCTCATAACTAACTTAGTATGTGTTCATGTCCATGGAAACATTTTTATTTTTTTATTTATTTTTGGCTGCACAGACCTTTTATCTTAAAATATACCACTCGTTTTTGATTACAAAAACTGCTTAAATTCACTAATTATATTTCCTATAGTGATAAAATTTGTAATTATATTATATAGTTATACTATAATCATAATAATTTTTATATATAATACATATAATATAAATCTAATTTATATAAGTATAATTATATTGGGTGTCAAGAGGCTTGGTGACCATGAACTGTCACTTTTTCTTGACTTGAAGACGTCTCTTTCAGTCTTTGTGACATCTGGGTTCTCCTCACCACATGTGTGCTCTTGTTCAGGGTCATACTGAACCTCATCCTCATCCACAGACGTATATATGAATGGACATAACTAACGCTGTAGCCACCGCGTTCCAAATAGAAAGTTCTCCAGGAGGCTCTTCCGGCTCCTTCTGACTCTGGCTCCAATTGACTTATGTTAGGATCTTGTCGTCCTTCTCTCTGTACCTGCTGCTGTGAACCTCGTCATTTTGGTCTTAAAATATACGTATTAACCTGCGACACATGATCCTGATTTTTTTTTTTTTTTTTGGGATGTTTTGTCCGTCCAAAAAATCCTATTCATAACATATAACCTGGCTCTAGATTCCCTCCTGTAACCGTGAGCTTCATTTGAGCGGCGCCAAACGCTGTGGGTGACGTCACACTCACTTAGTCCACTTCTTTTATTCAGTCTGTGCCCTCATCCTCATCCTCAGATACATCTTCCTCAGCTTCACTTTCCTCTCTGTCTTCAGAATCACTGTCATGACCAAAAATCTGATCCAGCGCCTCATAAACAGTGAACCTGCTCATGTTGACTGATGCTGCAACAGATACAGCTGATAATATCTCACTAAAACCCTGTTTATATATGACAATGTTTATTTTAGATTCAAAATGTATCAATGTGCTGCAAGAAAGAGAAGAGTTCACGTGGGTGAAGACGACCTTTTTGTGTGTGTGTGTGTGTGTGTGTGTGTGTGTGTGCGTGTGTGTGTGTGTGTGTGCGTGTGTGTGTGTGTGTGTGTGTGTGTGTGTGTGTGTGTGCGTGTGTGTGTGTGTGTGCGTGTGCGCGTGTGTGTGTGTGTGTGTGTGTTGTGGGACACACTGAGCCATATTTGATCCACAGAGCAGCCTACAGCTTGTAAGTGATGCATAAAACAGCCACTATTCTCTGCCGGGTCATTTTTGACCCGTAACACCACAGATGTCACTTTTTTTTTTTCAGACCTTTACAATTTACTAAAATGGTGAAAATTGATTTTGTTGCGTTAAAATAGTTGTGTCTGAGGATTAGATGAAGCCTCATTCCGGTACAAAAAAGCAAATGGCAGTTTTTACATACCTAAACTTGAAAACGGGTCAATTTTGACCCTAACACAATATAAGGGTTAAGCTAACTGCTACCTTTTATCTTTTGGTCAGTAGAGTTTGGCAATTCCATGGCTGAAATTATCCAAATGATTAAGGTGTATGGAGTTTAAAAACACTGGAGTATTTCCTGTTTTACCATATGACATCACAAGGTGAGTATTTTCTGTTTGTGTGTGTTAAACATGTGAATAAACATTGGTGGATGAAACAAAACTCCAGGTATGATAATGATGAGGAAAAAAACATCAGATCTGAAAATAGCATAATGTTGGCCCTTTAATATTATGAATTGAGATTACAGATCATGCCCCAAAATCATTCATTTTCTCATTTCCTCCTCAATTCAACACAACAAGATAACTGAATAAGTTTATAACCTGAAATTCTTATGTCAAAAATAACACAATGGCATATCCAGTTAGTAAAACAACCAATTTATTGGTTTTCAAGGAAAAAAACAACTCTGAAAACAGAAATGTACATCTTTAAATTACACTGGCTCTTATAAACAAAATATAGTCTCTTTCTTCTGTATTTACATCAGCAGGGGTGTGACTAGTGGCTTTGGGAGCATGTCATCAGTAAAATAACATGGCAGTTCCAATACAACCAGCTTCAGATATAAAGGCAGACTCTACAGAGCCCTTAACCATTTTGATAACTGTTCACTATCTCACACTGAACTTCTAATTGGACATGTTTTTCAGCATCACTGACACAGGAGGTTCAGGAGTGGCCAGCATTTTTCAAGTAGTGCCTAAATGCATATTTAAACAGTCCTTTGTGTGAAGTGGTCATAAAACATGTAGCCAACATGTATTTGCGAGTTGTCCACCCCTTATTCAGTCTATAGAAGGTAACAGATGTACTTAAGGAAATGGTCGAGGGAAATCTCTGAATAAGTAAAAAAATACATCATAAGAAATTCCCCCAAATGTAGGACATTGTGTGCATCAACATGACAGGAAATCTGGTTTGAGGTCAATCAATAAAACACAGAGCAAACAATTATAAAAACAGCAACAAAGTGATACACAAATACAGCATTTACAGAAAAAAACAGGACAAGAATGGTGAGGGAGACTACCATGTGCCTTTTTAACTGGACCTCAAGTTCAGCTGTCAATAAGTGCATTTGGGGAAAACAATATTGTACTGCATTTCCAAGCCACAAGAGGGCAGCATCGAAGTGACATTTCTCCACCTCAGAAAAGTTGGACTGCTGTTCCAAATAGGGCAAGAAAAAAAATCATTCAATCTCTTACACAAAGAGAGGACCTATGTAAGAATCTATTATAACTTTACACTATTCAGACTTGCATGTGTGTGTGTGTGTTTGTGAGTGACACTGTAGCTTATACAAATTATAAGTGCATAAACAAAATGAATATGATTTTTTGAAAGAAACATGGAACCATCAAATTGTCCGAATTGTCTTGAGTGGTGTTAAAGTGAGTTAATGATTGTCTTTGAGTGAATGCCTCTTTAATGTAAACCCTATAAAAAACTGCCTGTCTATAGGATGTGCTCACCTAAGCCTTGACATTTTGAGTGATGCCACAGCCAAACAAGTGCAAAACACAAAACAAAAAAGTAAAACATATTTCCCTAACCAATGCTTAATAGTGAAAAGTAATAAAAGCAGTATCCTCAGATCTCCCTCCTGTTGGGATTTGATTTATCATTGTCTGTACAGGTAAAATGTTAGTTAAAATGTTTTGTTAAAAATCTCTTAAGTTCCAAAGGTAAGCACTTACCAAATTAAGTGCCCCTTTGTCCCTATTTTCTACAGCATCACATGTACCTCCTCCTCAGTCTGCTAAGAGCACAAGCTCTCCCTCACTACGTTCTCCTCCATCGCTCTCCTCACCCTCACTGTAAGGGTTGGGGTCCCTCTCTCTGTCCCTGTCCCGGGACATGGGGGGTGGGGGCTTGACCGGGACCTCTGGTCTCCGACCAGCAGAGGAAACCTGCCAGTGCTCCAGCAGTGCCGGGTGGAAGGGCATGGTTGCCACGGAGACAGGGCCTGTACTACCATGGTACTGGCCTTCACCATGTGGGTAGTGGATCTGCTGTGGTTCTGTTTGGCTGAGAAGAAAAGAGGATGCAAAGATGAAAATGAGATTTTAAGTCTTATTTATACTGGAAGGCCAACTTTTCCAGCAACATTAATCTTAGATGCACTCAATTAAAAATATGGGACACAGATCAAGGTTGAAGTCACAGCTTTAACTCAAACTATACTTCAATGTTCAAGCACTTTACAACTCACATTTTCAAGAAAATTAATTCAAGACCCTAAATGTGTATTCATAATGACAACCTTTCTCTGTATTATCACATTATTACTTTTAAAAGATTCTCAATTTGTTCTGAAGCAAATTAAATTAAATGTTTTATTGCCACTAAATTGTAGGTCTAGATTTGAGTAGTTAAAACAAACACATACTGTATATCCAACCATTACTAATACTAAAGCTACATACACTCAAAGGCCTGTAATGAAATAAAAGTTGTGATTTTTATGTGAAGTTGGGCTTCTGACTATACAATATTTAAATTATACACATGTGATGCATTTATACATAAATTATACACACTACAATAACTTGCTGTTTGTAGTTGTTAATGGTATACATATCAATCAAAATGTGTTCATCTAATATTCAATATTTGTAAAACCCATTTTTTATGGTTCATTTTAGCAGACATTAATACCTTTGGTGGTCATGGGCACCTATGCCCATGCAGAGTTGTTTGAGCCTGACTAGTGTATTTGATGTGAGGAGGTGTTCACATTGCTTTGTCAGGCTGTTCCTTACCTGTGTGTGTATGGGCCCCTCTGCTCCTGCCGCCGGCTCTTCATCATGGCCTTGTACTCTCCTACGCGGAGGCGGCGGCCCTCCACGATGCAGGTGCGTTTGGGCCGAGGCTTGTACTTGTAGTCAGGGTAACGCTCCAAATGCTGCCTGCTCAGCCGAGCCTGCTCCTCATAGTATGGCTGCTTCTCCTGGTTAGACATCGACTTCCACCTGGAGCCTGTGGGGAACAAAAATGACAGACTTTTTTCTACAGATTTCTCATACATACCACTAAAAATGTCAAGTTCATCTAAAATATATCTATAAAATTCAAAAATCCCCAACTCAAGCCTTCCTATTTATCACACTTGCCTTCTACCAACTCAAACTACTAATGTCAGCAGGTAATTTTCTGGTTAATAAAAATTTAACAACAATGATTATTTATAGAAGCAATTAACATGCCACCCCTTCATAAAATCTGCTCAATCGAGTTTAGACATCTTTTTTAAGGGCCTGTGATGACTTCCTGAGAATCCCCAGATTGGGAATGACCGGTCTAATAAGTCTTATATAAACATATAAAGCCTTCATTTCAAAACCCATGTTAAACAAAATATCTGTTGGCAGAATTGTGCAAATGGTCTCTACACTTTTCCAACACAGTGAGTTGCACAACATTAAAACGAGGTATTGACGTAGATTCATTCAGTGTAATTAGTCTGGATGTGTGTGTGCATGTTGGCCTCTGTGTGTCAGCCTGAATGGTGGTTGCTCACAGCACAATAGAAAGGAATGCACATGATTGGCCCAGAGACAGCCCTGTGTGCGTGTGTGTATATGTGTATATGTGTATATGCGTATGTGTGTGTAGGAGAGGCAGGTGGCTGGTCTGACTCTCGTGTTGCACTGTCTCAGAATAGGCCTGCGTGGCTCTGCTCACCCAGGATCTTGCTGATAGAGGAGTTGTGCATGTCGGGGAAGGCCTGGAGGATCCTGCGCCGCTCGTCCTTGGCCCACACCATAAACGCGTTCATGGGTCTCTTGATGTGGCCTGAGGAGGCAGAAGGTCGGGCCTCGGGGTAGCTGCCTGGTGCGGGCTGAGGTCCTACAGAAGCAAAGCTACAATCAAACCAGAGCACAGGATTGCGAGAGAGAGGGCATGCCAAAAATATGCACGCCATATTTACCCACACAAGAGTGTACGTGAACTCTTCCTGAGATTAATACTTTGTTTTATTTTTGAAACAACCAAAGCTTTCATTTTTACATCCTGTGAAAGGGATACAGTTTTAAGGGCTTGTAACACCTCACATAAAAGTGTTGCTGGCACAAGTTAAATTGATTGTTCAAGATAAGCCCTATCGATGGGAAATACCAGTGTTTTTGTTTTCTGTTTCAGGTTGATACCATGTAATACTACAGTTGTATCGCAGTTTTGTGTTTTAATAAAAAGGTCCACCCATCATTTCTAAGAAGCACAACACACAGTTTACCAAGCAATGGCTAGGTGAAGGCGAGTGCTGAAAGAATGTGTTTTGTATTATGGTTAAAAACACATACAATAGGTGAACAGTGAACCCTAGAGTCTAGAGGTGCAAGCGTACCATCGGAGTCACTGCTGTGGTGGTCCTCAGCGGTGGGCTGTCTGTCGTCACTGCGTTCACCCGGAGGTGCTCTCTCACTCAGAGGGGGCTCTTTGTATTCCTGTACATACAGAGACAGACAGGTGAAGCGGTCATGTTCAGCACACACATGTTCACACATATGCACACACACACACACACACACCATTTGAATGTGGAGCACTGTAAAAGAGATGACCCACTGATCATAGGCAGCCATGTGTCACACAGGAGCTATTTAAGGTAAAGGACTGGCACACTTGGCATATCAGCTGTGTTTAAATGGAGAGCTGTAAATGCAAAGAAAGGAAGTGGGGACAAAAAGAATGGCGTTTATTGTACCCTGGACCAAAGGTGAAGGAGACAAGAGATAGATGAAGGGAACAAAGCCATTACACAGTGATGCTGTTGTAAATTATCATTTATTCCAATGGCAGAAGCACATTGCCGAAATAGGGCAGTCCAGTCTGTATGTGTTAAAGAGGGATGTAGAACAGTGTGTGTGTGCGTGTGTGCGTGTGTGTGGTAGAGAGAGGACAGACTGTGGACAATGACACAGGGCAGGTGGCTCACTCTCTGCCACCAAGGCCTTTGTGGCTTTGTGAGGCTGCCACACAGCTGCTCCAAGAGCGGCAGCTTCACCTCCAAGAATGAAAACTAAGACGAGAATAGAAGCCAAGAGGCACATGAACCAAAACACTACGCAATAGGCTTAACTGTATACCAGAGAGGAGCTATGAAACAACTCTACAATCACCAAGCATGTATTTGGTTCAAATGAATGTCAGTCACCATTTCATCTTAGCACTCTAGTATATAGATGACCAGTGTTGGGTATTTTACATTAAAAAGTAATTAGTTACCATTACAAATTACTTCCCCCATAAAGTATGTAAAAATAATTAATTAGCAATCAGAAATCTCCAGTTATTTTTCACATGATGTACTTTTACCCAAAAAAATCAAGTTTGGCTTGCTTTAATGCAGTGGCTCTGTCTCCATCTCCATCTTTGCTAGAGCTCACACTAACTGCATCGGGGTTTGAGGTGAACAGAGGTGCGTAGCAAGTGACGATGTGAGGCGCTTCATTAGATTTGAGTTACTTGAGGCAAATGCAGACAGATTTTTTTTCCCCCAGGGTACAGTGTACACTTAACATACACATTCTTGCCCTTTATTTCAAAGAGGTAGAAATAGTGTCAGTATTTCTAGTTTGAAAATGCTACCTTTGAATGTCCCTGGCTTGTCGTTGCCATTGTTGCAATCTTGTTGAGTTTGTCTCATGTAGCTTGAAGTGTGCGGAAAAGAAACCACAAGGCAGCTGTGCAGAGACACCCCCCACCCAACTTCTTAGCCAATCATCAGCAGCCCTGCTCTCCCTGCTATATTTGTATAACTATATGTCTATATTTTTCATTTGTACTTGTACACATACATGTATATAATTATGCTTTATTTGACACCAGTCTGTTATTTTTGCTACTTATTTTGAATTTATTATTACATATATATATATATATATATATATATATATATATATATATATATATATATATATACACACATATATATACATTTATATTTTGGCTCCCTATATTATAATCTATTGTGATGTGTGAGCTACTGTGTCCAAGTAATTTCCCTTGTGGATTAATAAAGTTTGTCCAAGTCTAAATCTAAATACAAATGCTAAATTGTCACCAGTTAGTTTTATGTATCATGGTTATTTATATCAATAGCACAGTGCCAGATGATAGCATTGCTTGGTTACATATTTTTCTTCAACACCTCATCCTCAACAAATAGTTTTCAGTTGATGTGAATGTTGCAAACCTATACCATCTTATTCTGTAACCAAGCCTTAGCGTATTAGTGGTGTTGTATCATTGTCTAGGATCTCCTTCTCTGACAGGGGATCCTAAACAAACAGCTGTCTCACTAGAACCCCAAAATGGAAACCCAAGATGGCAAACTTCCTTGTCATTTCCAAACAACTTTCTCCAAACAGTATCAACTATCAGCTGTGGTAATGGACTTGTGCTTGTTAATGACAGGGCTCATGCTATAGTACAACCGTTAAACTACTTCCCGTAACCCTAAACTTTTGGTGTGGCTAAATAAACTCCAAGAACGATGAGATAAGATGTCAGATATCTCCATTTTATGCCCCCAGTCCTACTAATAGACTATGTGAGTAAAGTGAGATACTGTTTGGACATGACATTTACCGGCTTTCCTCCGCTGTCCCTGTCTCTGGTGTCTTTGCTGTGGTTCCTCAACAACTGCTGAGCATCATGGATGGCTTGGGTCACAACATCTCCATCTCCAAGGAAACCTGTTGGATAAATAGGATTTAGCACAATGGGAAATAATACTTTGGGACATTTATAAGGGAAAGCGTGTGTTACTGTGGGGGCATAATAGAGGACAGTATAGCTATTGTTCAGGTTGTTTATTGTTTAGGGGATACAATAGAAATACATAAGGAACTTCCATTATTGCCTTGTTATGCCATGTTAAAAAAAAGAAAAGGAATATATTGCACATAAAATATTGCAAATTGTGGGGAAAAATAAATATCTCCCAAAATTCACAAAAAAATAAATAAAATAAGGCTTAAACTGGAATACTAAATGACAAGGCCAGGTTAAAAAGTCAGGCTAGGCAAATGATAAAGATTGAAACATTGTGAGGCAGTCTGTCTAGCTGTCAGTGATATGTTTGGGGTTTTCCTGTGCCAGAAAAAGCATGTGGTTTGGAGGAGGTCGATCGATCAGTACATCATATTTGCACAGCCCAATTAAAAAGCCAGAACCAAACCAAACTCCAAATCTACTGGTCTGATAACAATTCAAAACCAGATCACATTTTTGTAACATATACACTTAATATGGAAAGTTCTTATCAGTTTCTCTCCAATCGATTCTTCAAGGACCATAGCAAAGCAGTCATGGGTACTTTTTTTTTTTTTTTTTTTGAGAACCATTCCTTTCCAACCAGAATTCCCAATTTATCCACTATAAGCAATTCGTGCAATTACGTAGATCAAGTTGTATTAATTATATAAACTTTGCACATGTAATGTGGGTGTTCCTGTGGACTCACTGAGTGCAGACCGCGGCGGGCTGTGGGATACTTCTCTTGGGTGCTCTCTTGGTCTGTAAGCCCCCTGCAGCCCCAGTGTGCTCAGCTCCAGTTGGGGACTGGGTGTCTTTCCCAGCTCCATCCCCTTGGGTTTGGAGGTCAGGTTCAATGGCTGACTGGCTTCCTACACATACAGTGAGAGCAGATGAGCTGGGGTGGGGCCACGCACACACACACACACACACTCATACACACTCAAAATAACACAATCACACACAATGAGGCTGAACCGCAAAGGGCAAGGGCGTGCGTGTTTTGCAGTTATGCACGGCAGATCTGGCATGTCGGAGCGCATCTGTCACACCTTTGTAGCATTTCGGTCCTTTTGTCTTGGTGCTCACCTCATCCTCTCTTCCCTTTTGTTTACTTAAGCTCTGTTGGTCTATCTCCGCTTGAGAAGCAGCCGTGCAAACAGGACACACTCGGCACACACACGGCAGCGCACTTGTCAAACCTTTGAACAGAGGGTGTGGCGTATTCCAAAAAGCTTTCAGCTCCAAAATACCAGAAAAGTACTATTATCTATTTAATCTGAGCGCCGCTTACACACACACGCGGTTCCCTCTCAGTATTAGATTTGTGTGCATTAAACGTGTGTAATGTGTGTATCTTTGGAATGACTGTTCTTGCATTGAGCCGTGTAGTTGTATGTACCTGTCTGAATGAGCCACTGCCTCTCTTGCTGGGCGCTGGGTGGGGACTCGGTAACAGCTGCATCGGGTAATCCACAGCTGCACAACAATGACAAAAGCAAATTAAAAAAACAAACAGGCTTTTGTTTGAGCAGTACCAATGGAACAACTGTTTAATCACTAGTCATGGTTTAATCTTAAAGAATAAAAACATTTGAGTGTCTCAAACTGAATTATAGGGATTTATTTTTCAACAGTTTTATCAAACACGATCCACTGAACTTGTGCGCAGCCGTAACAAACGTAGTAATGATGTCACTAGGTTGCTCCAACATATAACAATTGTTAAAAGGTAAATTATGTAACTTTTATGGTAGAGGGTTCAACACATTCTTGTCTCCTTGGGGATGTTACAACTTTTCCTGGAATGTTCCACAGTATGGCATTAAACTCATCTCCAAAGGGACAAGAAAGTGAGCCCACTGGCAAAGTGACAGCTCAGATCTGTGGAGAGCTGACCCCACTTGCAGTAAGAATGCATGTTTCTCAAAGAGCAATGAAACACATGTATTGATTTTTTTTTTTTTTTTTTTTAAATACTGAATATAGCAGAAAAGTTTCATAGTGCACTTTTAAGTGGTCATATTGTTTTTATGTAATGTTCAAAGGAACCGTCTTTACAGAAACTGATCCCCATCATTATGTCAGTTAAAACAACATAACCTAGAGGTAACCTCTTCACCATTCATTATTGTGGTTTGATTGTCATCTTAACCTCTCCCATTGTACCAACAAACCTTTACTTTTTTCATTCTATACGTATCTATGAGGGAGTTCTTCCACAAAATGGCATTTGTTGAAATATAAAATGCGAATGAATGGCTATCCTTAAATTACGCCTACAATGTTTTAAAGACCGGCCTTGTGAGTTTTTGGTTTGAAAAGAGGAGAAGACGAGGTCAGAGAGAAGGAGCTTTTAAGCCTTGTGAAAGGCTGACAGCACAAAGCTATGCCTCTCTGAGCTGTGCCCTTTATAGCCCGCTAACTGTACAAGAGTGAAAGCTACCATCATCACTATTGTTCGGCTCGAGTCTACGTTTGTGTCTTACCAAAGCTTTCCATTATACATAAAACAGGCCTTGAGTTGAAGTGCGCTTAAGTTTCTCCTCAATACGATTTGAGAAAGAAGACAAGGAGGACATTCCAAAGAGTGCGTGGTTAATAGAGCTGCATATGGCAACAACTTTTCAGATGGATTCTGGCCTTCAAATAAAAGAAAAATCTTAGATGAGTTGAATGTTTACCCTTTTGTTTTAAATTCTACAAAAAGAATACCCCATGAAAGAGTAGATAACCATAAAATTCTCATCGTAAAGACATAAAACAAAGCAACCTTGGGAGACTAACAAAAGCGTGCATTGAAAATCATCAGAAGTAAAGCTATGCCTTTGTACTGGGTTTGCGTTTGAGGATGTAGTCCTTGTCTTGTCCCTCAGTGTAGATTTATTGTATAAGAAGCTCTTGAGCTCAAAATATGTCCGCTGCGTGCTGTCTGCATCTAATTATATAACCTTTTATTGTTTGCTAATTGTAGTTAGCTTTACAGTCACAGGAAAAAATCCGGTCTGGTCTGAGAGTTATGAAAAGTGCTTACAAACTGTCTCTGAATGAATAAGTGAGGAATACATTTGTTCCACTGCAAATATTATTAACTAGTTCCATTTACCATGTTAAAAAAATAAAATCAAAATCATGTACAGCACCTTTAAGAGCTATTATGCAAATTGATTATGAAGGGAGAAGGACTCACTTGGCTTGCATGGGATCGGCTGGAGGGGCAGGGTCATCTGAGGGTCAGAGGTCACTGGCAGGGGCTGTGTGTTTGGGTGAAATGCTGGTATCATGACGTAGGGCATGTTTACCTGCTGAGACAGAAGTGAACAACGTCAACAAAGTGTGTGCAGCAGCAGTCCGTGAGAGGAGAGAGAGTAAGTGAAACAGCAAGAGAGAGAGCGAGTGAGGAAGAGAGGATGAGTGTGGGTTATCATTCAATATATGAGAACAATATATTTTGAGCTCAATATTTATAGTGTGTAAAAACATTTTGAGATAATGGGCATGTCATTTTAGTCATAAGATGGGAGCTGCAGAAGGTTGAACAGCTGACTTTTATGGCTAGTTATTTGATCATTCTGTAAATCATTTATTACATTTTTTGTGGACAGTTCTGCTTTATGGTTTGGTTTCAGTATTATTGTTTATTGTCTTCTATTTACTTTAACAATATATCACACTTCAAAATTTGTTATGGCGACAGGACTAAGTGTAAGGAGAAAGTAAAGGGGCTGAGAAAGGAAGTAGAGAGTGAAAAAAGAATAGATTACAAGAGGAAACAGAGGGGAGAGAAGGAGACAGAAGAGAGAAAGTGAAGAGACGGTAAAGTGGGTGTGAGAAGAAAGAGAGGGGAGAGAGATAATAGAGAAAAAGATTGCAAGATGATAAGGGGAGACAGAAGATAGAAAGTGAATAGAGCAAAAGAGAAGAGAACGTGAGGGGGGAGTGTTGGGGGAGAGAGCGAAGAGAGAGAGCGAGTGAGGCCTGACCTGGATCTGTTGCTGGAGCAGGTTGATCTTGTGTTGTTGCTGGATGAGCTGTTGCTGCTGTTTGGCGATCTGACAAAAATGTAATGTTAGATTCAGCACTTGACTGCATGTTATTGGGAATGTCATATTTTATAACGAGAGATTATCGAAATATGTGTTGTAATGTTTTGGAGATATACTCTATATTCAAATTTTGCATATCATTTATAATAATAATAATAATAATAATAATAGAACATTTTGCAAAAAGAGCCAACTTAAAGAAAAGTGGAAAAAAGCTTATGTCAAATCATTTAATTTGTACACTTATACAGTCATAGCACATTTGTCTGATATCTTACATTTTTACTATACATGTGCAATTTTGAGAAAGGTTGATCATACAAAAGACACATTAAGTTTTGATTTCTTAAGTGCTATGGCAACGGTCCCAACTTTAGCAGAGGTACTGTGCCGGCAAAGGCAAAAGTGAGGAGTTTTGTGAGGATTCACGTGGTTTGGAAGGTCAAGGCGGGGGGCAACTGTTGTCAAGGCGGATGCCCAAACTACCGTATAAAGCGCTTAACACAATGATGTTAAGAGTAACATAATTTCTGAATATCGTTATCAGGATACTCAATATGCTCCATTTCAAACTTAAAAGGTGCACTGTGTAACTTTCCTGGTAAAGGGCCCGTTACTTGCTGTTATGCCTTCAATGTTCCAAAGTATGGCATTAAATTGAATTATGCAGTGTACCTTTAAATGAATCAGATCGTGTGCCCTGTGCTGGTACCTGCTCCTGCTGCTGCCGGGCGAGCTCCATCTGCTGCTGCTGCTTCTCCAGGAGCAGAGTGGCCATGTTCCTCTGCTCTGAGTGCGCCCCCATCAGCTGCTCCCTCAGTCCACTCAGCTGGTTTATCATCATCAATAACTGTAGCTCCTTCTCCGCCAGGGACTCGGGGGTACCTGGTACAAGACCATGGGGACAGTTTAGGATCAGAGCTTCCATATTATTTTCTTGATTGGGTAAGACTATTGAAGTGGGCAATATCAACTAACAGACTAGCTGGAATCTACCCAGGTTTTATTACAGGCTGTTATCAGTGTATACCAGTACTTTGCACAGCAGTGGTAATAAATAAAACATTTAAACCAAAACCAAAATTATTTTGGAAATCTCAAAAATAATTTATAATAGTGAGTAATGTGGTTGCATCACCTATAGTAAATCCTCTGAACTCTGCTCCAAGCCACATGCTTTTATTGACATTTTCATTTGACTTTAATAAGATCCCCATATTACCCAGCCCAAGTCTGTTTCTACAACAACAATGCATTCCCCCTCTGTGTTGTGATCTCTTGGTGTACTTCAATTCCCCCCCATCATTCCAAAAACATACATGTGTTGGTGAATTGGAATTGATTGAAGTGATTGCTACAAGTAACTTTATGTGAGATCAGATGGTCATCACTCATCTATCCGTGGATGAATTGTATTGATTTTTTTTGTGTGCAGAGACCAACCTTTCAGCTGTCCGCCCGCTGCTGAGCCTTTGTCCAGAAGTTTCTCCTTCCAGTCAGTGTTGAGCAGCTTCTCAATGGTGGGCATGACTGAAACACACAACAAGGAAATCGGACCTCAACATGATTGCACCAGCACCAAGCGGCGGGCACTGGGCAGCCGTGTACAAATACATGCCAAGTGAAGCCCACATGACACCACAATACGCCTGCACCTCTCTGCTGTCCTAATGGGCCTGATTGGAGAATACATTCAGAGGCCAGAGTTTGTTTGTGCGTCTGGGAGAAAGTTTGAGTGTTTGAGTGGATCGATATTTGGACACAACAATCCAAGGTCAGCTGGTGCGCGGAATTTTAGAAAAAAATTAAGGAGTGGAGTGGTGGTAATAGAGAGGAGGGCAGGGAGAGTGTCAGAGGAGCAGCCTTTCACGCTGCATGTAAAGAACTGAACTGGGCGAAACAAAAATCACGCTGCACTCATTCGCTCGCCCAAACAACAGCCATCACTTTTAAGCATTGATTTTACACAGGCTCCATTGTCTAAGAGTGAATAGCAAGTGAATGCAGCTCGCTTAGGCTGCATCTGAAAACATAGAGTTGCCAACTTATGAGCAATGGGAACATTTTAAACAAAGGTCCAAAAGATAGAAGTCTGACACTAGAGGTGGGCGGATTGTTTAAATATCAATAATAAATAATAGTAAATAAATTGTTCATAGCAGTCATTTCACATTTATCCAATACCTGCACCTCAAATAAGATATGTTTCTATAAGATTGACATAATAGTCTGAATGTAGTTATACTTTAGATTTTATTTCAGTTTTTTTTTTAAATTTCAATATTGCCCACCCTTATTTGACATGCATCAACGGTTTGCTTACTTTTTCACTTCCAGACATCAGTTTATCTTACAAATGACCATTTCACATGCGTTGTTGGTTTTGGTGATAAAACCTTCATTTTACTTTGTCCCTATATACACTGCCACTTCAGGTCATGAGTTCTCAGTATATGCTTAGACCTGCAAGAAATCTGCGCTTTGTCCAATAAGAACTGCATGGAGGTGTGTCTGAACTTGACTGGTACTGGTAAAACACAATTTTTAAACTTCATGATGACATTTTCTTTCAAGCCCGGCTGCTTTTGACTGTGTCAAGTTATCAAAAGAACAGTAATTTTGCCATTGCACATTGTAACAGAACAAGTATCCACACTCAACTATTGTACAACAAGCTTCAGGGCATTATAGAGACATTATCTGACAGGTTGTAAATAGTAACATGTTTGCAGGGCTGACCTTCCTTGAGGTTGGATTGTCCGTCTGGTCTTTCCTGAGCTTCTTTGACAACTGTGGGACTCTGTCTTTGGGAGGCTTCTGTCCCTGGTGACCTGTCCTGTAAAACAAAGCAAAACATTTCATGTATATGGAAGCCTTACCTGTAAAACATGTCCTTCATCAATATGGCCACCCCTGAACTTTAAAAGTGCATTGTGTAACCTTTCTGGTGGAGGGTCAATCACATGCTTGTTTCAACTGAGATGTCATTGCTCTGCCTGGAATTTTCCATAGTATGAAATTCCAAAAGTCTATATTACATTTATTAAATTACAGATGGTTTTATAGCTTAACACTACCTACATTCTACCAACCATTTGACCTTTAGCTTGGTCTGGTTTGGTCTCCATGATGACAAAACGTTTTAACACCATACTGTAAAAAATTCCAGACAAAGCAATAGCATCTCCATGGAGAAAAGCATTTGACATACCCTCCACCGGAAAAGTTACACAATGCACCTTTGTGAATTAGATAACATTGTAGTTTGAGACACTGAGCCTTGAAGCCAACCAACTAATTTACATTTTTGATGCTTAAATGTTTTTTTGTATTAAAAATGGGAACACGTTATGCAAAATGGACTTATGAGATTTAAACCAAGCTGGAATGCTCAGAATTATATTTTTTTTCCGCTTACCTCCGATCTCCTCCTAAATTGTGATTATTTCAAAATGAATAAATCAGACACTGGATAATAAAATGGTTTAAAAATGTCACAGCCATTTTTTTTAACAGTAGAAAAACAAGTAAATGAACATTTGTGGCTTGCAGCAATTAACTGTCACGATGCCGGGTCCACAGTTTTGAACAGGAAATCGTGACCCTGCTTCTGTTATTAAGCAGTTTTAGTGTGGATTACAATGAACAAAATAAAATTATTATCTACGTATATTATAGTCTAAAGGTGTATTGTGTAACTTTTCTAGTGGAAGGCTTGTCAAATACTTTTCTCCATAGATATAGTATTATGGTAGGGTATTATTATGGTAGTATGGTATTAAACCTTTCTATCTTCATGGAGACCAAACCAGACCAAGTTATAGATCAGATCTATAGCGAGGCAACCCCGCTCACAGTCGGAATGCCTGTTTTTCCTTTTTTTTTTTCTTTTTGCTGTACAACCACCTATAATAATAAGAATAAAAAAAATAAAAATAAAAAAAACATGTAATATAGAGTTGTTTACTTTCATACTGAAGAACATTCCAGGCAGAGCAATGACATATCTATAGAAACAAGGAGGTGATGTACTCCAAACCGAAAAGTTACATAGTGCATAAGACCAGAAGAAAAAAAAACATAAATAAAGGCAAATATTTTCCAGAGCCAATATTGATAACTTTTATTCACTTGTTTTTTGGAAGTTGAGCAGGAGAGGGGAGTAATCACCTGGCGTGTCTCTTGTGGGTGGCCTCGTGTCCAGTCGCGAGATGGGGAGGTGCTGGGGGGCTCTTCTTGCTCCAATTTAACACCCAGAGCCTTCATGGTCCCGTCCCCACACAAGGGGAGCTGTAATGCTGGAGGACTGGGCTCAACCATTCTGTAAAAAACACACAAGACAGTCAGCTTTGGAATTTTACATCCTTTAGCCCTTCACTATAAGCATAGTTAAACAATATCTCTCTTCCATAACATTTATTTCCTTACGCAAACAAAAAAGTGGCTCCATTATGCACATACAAATGATGGTCAAAGTTTTATGCGAGTTACTGATGAAGAATGGTACAAACAAGATCAGCGCAAAACAAGAGGTAGAATTAGTTTAAAAGAAAACAAACCAAACCGAAAGCATGAGATCAAACTGTCTCCCTACTTTTCAGCATAATTTCAGGCCTAGTGAAATATAGAAGATGAAAAAAAAATAAAAATTTGAGTAGTATTGATCCCTACTTTAAAATGTTGCAAAGTAAATGTAGAGGTAAATATAAGTACAGTGTGTAAAAGCAACTTATTAAATTCTTTTACTTTCCTGCCATGCTAGAAGAGGAAAATGTAGTTTAGATTACCTCATGCATGCATTTCTCTGAGATGGGAGAGAGATGAATGCCACTAATTTAGGTCACAGCCAATGTCAAGGTCAAAGGTCATGTGGTGGAAGTGCCATTGTTTGATCGTGTCGGAAAGGTGACAGTGAATAATAGAGGGCTAAGGGGGAGGCCAGCCCACATCACCTCAGTGACCAGCAGAGGACAGGTACAGAGAAAGAGGGGCGAGCCACACTCAACTTGAACCAATAAACTGTGCCAGCGTGTGCGTGTTTGATTTCCCAGCTCTGCAGCGGGAGGAAAGAAAAACACAGCAGACAGCTGAACAAAACAAAACACAACACACAAGGGCAAAAAGTGCACATATATATAAAGAGGCAGAAAAAAGGCATTGTTGGAGCGGGGGAACAAAGGAAGCCGGGACAATGGGGCAGGGGCTGACAAAAGCCGCGGCCGCAGGAAACAGGCCGGAGAACAATGGCAGCGGAATGTGCCGATCCGACTCGGGAACACGGCACAAATATGTGAAGCGCCACACAGCATAATAATGATTAACCCCCCCTCTGCAAATGGGACGTGAAACAAAAGACACCTGTTTGCAGGACCTAAGGCTCCAGGCTCACTATCACAGTTCAGCTTCACTGTGATGGAGCTAAAACACCAACTGTGTCCCCTGAGGGAGAGCAAATCCACACTGTCAACAGGTGGAAGTACAGAACTAAATATGCATACAGTCTTGCGGTCATCTCTCTGCACTGACCACAGCTTTTCAAGAATCTAAAACCCCATTCATGCACCTGAAATGTTTTCTTTCTCTTTAAATACACTATGTATCTGCACCGTGATCTTCTGAATGTTTAAGCAAATCATGTCCAGAGAAAAAGTTGTAAACATTGTATGGTTCTTGTCATAATCAGAATTAGCTTTAGAATGATAAAAAAAAAAAAAAAAACTCATAAAAAAGTGGTTTACTAAAGTGAACTAAACAGCACACTCTGAGCCCTGTGCCTGTTAAATGCAGCTGCAACAGGAGGAGCCGCTGCCACCATCAGCTCTACATACGCCCCAGTGCCCAGTGCCCACTCACACTGCACTGACTTCAGAGCTGAGGAGCAGGAGAGAAACACTACATTTTTGCACACGGCATACACATTGTCCTGCATGGTACTCAAAAGTGTTGATAGATACACTTAAATAAACTTGATTATAGGTTTACTTTATCAAAACTATTTGTGTCAAAGCAAAGGCGTGTGCAAGAGGTCACTGGCACTTCCTTCCTCAGTGCTTCATACGTCATGTGACAGGTGTCTTGGTGGTAATAATCACTGTCGTATAGTATAACATAAAGGGACTGTTATGTGGGCAGGTCTGATTGTGGGGCAGTGGGGGTGGCCTGGTGCTGGGTCCCACGCTGCAGTTATTCCTGGGGCCCTCCACGTTCCACAGGCTGAGAGTGGAGCTGCCACAGGTGGCTTTCACACGCTTGGGCCCTGCGCGTGAGGTATGCCCAGAATCTGAGCGGCCGCAGGCTGTTGACAGACAGGAATGAGTTAAGGTGCATGTGTGGATGTGTGTTTTACAAGCACAAAGGCTTTCTTTACAACAATACCTTCTGCGTCTTAGCTTGAACAATGCAAGCAGCCAAGGTTATCGCGTACCTCTGCAGCATTAGGTTAAATACACACTTAGCTCCTCTCTGAAGCACCCATGTGGAACCCAGCTTTGCCTGCACATGTATGGTTTTCTAAAGAACCATTTGGAAAGAGCTTTCCTCAATTTGAGATAGTGCACTGGGGCCTGTTTTCATACCACATACAGCAGCTTTGCCACAAGCCTTGGCCAAAAAAAAAAAACTGTGCAAGGCCCTGATGCAGCTGTGCCCAGTATCAACAACAAAGTGACCAAAAGCTGCTATTTGTGACCCTGGAAATGCAATATACTTGAGTACAGAGTGTGGACCATAAAGCAGGTGAGGTTTCACAAATTTGGCATTATAACACCACAATGACAGCTATTTCTGCTTCAGGTTAAACCCGACATGTATTACATCATTTCCGTATTAAAAGGCTTCTTATCAAAAAGGTATAAAGCACTGGCAGAATGAATGCTGACAAACAAGAACCCATGTGCCAAGCAGCTCAAAGGCATTTTAAAGGGGACATACAAAAGCGTTGATGGAGGGTGGCTGTGGATGTGTCTCTGTTCCTATGATAAACATCTCTTTAAAGCACTGACAACGGTGAAACTTTAGACTTCCCATGACACAAGTGCACTTCCCACAAAACCTTCAGTTAGCCAACCAGTTGTAACATGTTAACAGCGACATTTGGCCCTAGGGAGCTGCCAAACTAAAGCCTGTTATTGTTCATTCTTTTGTTGCTCTTTCTTTCATTGTTTCCTGATTCTCTCCTCACTCCTTCACTGTTTTCTCCTCCTGAGCTGCTGACAGGACCAGCTTGCTGAGTTTTATGTGGTGCTTGTGGCTCCCCAGCTCCAGCCTGAGGCGCAGAGGCAGAATGTGCATTGAGAGAGCCACTTTAAGCAGCAGGGACAAGTGAGACATGTAAAGAGCTCCGCTTGGTCGTAAACAAATAAAGGCATTCTCATTGTCAGGGCTGAGACTGACAGCTGCAATGGCAGAAGGTTCCCTGCAGGAAGGTTTCAAAGCGCCGCACTCAGCTGGCCGTCCATTCAAACAGACAAGATTTCACACCCCGATCTTCACATGTTTCCAAACCAGTTCCCTCGCACTTTAAAACAGGGCCATTTGATTTCCTCACAGTCTGTTTGGCAGTAAACATGTTTGCGGCAGAGCAGCAACTATTTCAGTGAGTGAGTGAGTCGTGTTAAGACAAGTGTAAACTGATGTATAAACAAATGTTTGTAGATAGATTTCATACTGTGCTTTATTTGATTAGGGATGATAAAACAATGGAGCATGTGGTGCCAGACACTGCCTCTGTGCCCACGGGCCTGGCACTGAACCTGGCATCTCTCAGCACATCTCTGTTTGGTTCCAGGAGACCTACACAGCTCACCTGCTTCTGCTTAACTAATGTACTTACCAATACTTTAGGTTTAGCATGCATTACTATATTATGTGGTCAAGTTAAATGTACTGAAAGTAAATAAAGTCATAGATCAGTTATAACATTATTTTTTTGTATTGTTTTAAAAGTTGCTTAATTTTCAAAAGATTTGTTCAAAAAGGTCCAGAAAGGAACAGAAAATATAATTTTATTAAAAATAAATAAATAAATAAATAAAAACAAAATAAATACAACTGTTTAACATGCTTTTAGTCCAGTTCTCAAAAGTCAATACCGAATTTGTAAAATAAAAAGAAATTCATCAATTAATTAATAAAAATCATAAGATACGCGGCACACTAACCTGTTTCGGAATGGCCTAAAGTACGGCGGACCAAGCAGGAGGGAGCTGGTGACACAAGTCATAGTGAATGCTGGGTGCCAGTGCAAACGCTTGTCTTCTACTCTCCTGTGCACTCTGACCCCCCCTCTGCCCCCCTCTCCTCCCCCACGCACAAATAACCCATGTCTCAGTCCACGAGAGCCACACACAAAGCGCCTCTTCAAATCCCGTCTCATTTTGCATAATTAGCATGCAGTCTGCGGCAGGTATCCCTCGCTCTGGCCAGAGTGATAGCGATCGCCTGCCATTCTACAAACAGGTGCGATGCCAGTAATCATAAAGCCAGCGTCAAACAAATGAATCTAAATTTCATGCATTGAACAGATTAAAAGGGCCCATATTCTGCTATTTTCTGATCTATGTAATAATGTTCTCTTGTCAAAAATATATCTGGAGTTGTGTTTTGTTTCATCCACACATGTTTAACCCACAAACCCTGCTTATTTAAACTGTGTTCTTCTCTCAAATAGAAAACACCTTGTGATGTCATGTGGTAACATAGGAAGTGCTCAGATGTGTTTTTAAACTCCATACACCTTCACTAGAATCATTTGGATAAGTTCAGACCTAGAATTGCCAATCTCTACTAAAAGAAAAGGGAAAAATAGCTGTTAACTTAAAAACAACATATAGACAGACTAATAATGATTACTCAGACATATATGAAACAAAGTACAACTCCAGGTATGTTTTTGATGAGGAAACACCATTTTACCATGGCTAAAAGCTGAAATGAGTCAATTCCGTGTGCTCTGAAACATATTTTTTTCTATTTTCTTTCCAATTCTAGTTTTATCATCTCTCCAGTGTCAAAGTAAACTGTAAACTCAAGTCAAGTTGCTCTCTTAACAGCTCCAAAAACAAGTGCACTTTGCTGAAATGCAGTAGTTGAGGTGTCATCATCATCAAACTCTTTATGACATTTCATTGCTACGTTAAAACAAGATCTTGAGTGCAGCTTTCCAGTCGACTGACAGACCCAATCATTTGGAAAAAAAAAAACCCTAACAACAAAAAGGGGAAAAAAGTGCATTAAATTTTAGTAGTGTACCAATTTTCAGCACATTATTTGTAGGATCAGTAGGCTCAGGCTTCAGTGTGATCATGGCTGAAGTCCAAAAAA